TTTTTTTCAATAAGTCTTTGAGGAACAGGTGGTGTTTGGTTACATGAATAAGTTCTCTTGCGGTGATTTCTGAGATTTTGGTGCACCCATCACCCAAGCAGTGTACACTGCACCCAGTATGTAGTCTTTTATCCCTCACCCCACCCCACCCTTTTCCCTGAGTCCCCAAAGTCCATTTTATCATTCTTATGCCTTTGCGTCCTCATAACTAAGCTCTCACCAAAATATATTTCTTTGACATATTTTGAAATTGCTCTGCAGAGCTGTCTCTTGTGCGGAACATCTACATTCTATAGAGAATCCCTGTTCCTTTCCAGGTCTTTTCCCTGAGACAGGAGAGAAGTAGGAGTTTGACACCTTTTTAGGTCTGATAAGAGCTCTGCAGCCTGCTACCTGGAGGCTTCACCTGCATAATAAAACCTTGGTCTCCATAACCTTTTTTCTCAACCCAGACATTCCTTTCTATTGGTTCCAGGTCTTGGATAATAACTCTTTAACCAATTGCCAATCAGAAAATTGTAAGGTCTCTTAGGCTGACTGATGGCACCATGGTAACTTCTGTGACCTGCATGGACACTCCAGATGAGTTCCTGGAACTAGAAAGTCTGATGTAACTGGAAAACCACAAAAAGGGGAAGAATGATCAACCACTGCTGTGTCAAGACATTATTCTATGGTTTCTTATTTCCACCTCAGCTGATAAGGCAATTGGACTTTGTAACCAACCTTGGTCAACCTCTTGACTCCAGACCCTACGACCCCCTCTCAGCTTGCAGAAACCTTCCCAAACTGTAACTTCTGTAACTTTCCACCACCTACACCAAACCTATAAAACCAACTCTTGCCGGGCGTGGTGGCTCATGCCTGTAATCCCAGCACTTTGGGAGGCCGAGGCGGGTGGGTCACGAAGTCAAGAGATTGAGACCATCCTGGTCAATATGGTGAAACCCCGTCTCTACTAAAAATACAAAAAATTAGTTGGGCGCGGTGGCGCGTGCCTGTAATCCCAGCTACTCAGGAGGCTGAGGCAGGAGAATTGCCTGAACCCAGGAGGCGGAGGTTGTGGTGAGCCGAGATCGTGCCATTGCACTCCAGCCTGGGTAACAAGAGCGAAACTCCGTCTCAAAAAAAACCCAACTCTATCCCACCACCCTCTGCTGACTCTCTTTTTGGACTCAGCCTGCCTGCACCTGGGAGAATAAACAGCCATGTTGCTCACACAAAGCCTGTTTGGTTCCGGGTGGTGGGGGGGTGTCTCTTCATTTGGAGAGCCCATTTTAACAAAAACCTTTGAATCTGCTGTCTATGACCTGGAAGCTCCTCCACCCCACTTCAAGTCGCCTGGCGTTTCGGACTGAACCAATGCACATCTTACATGTATTGATTGATGCCTTATGTCTCCCTGAAATGTTTAAAACCAAGCTGTAGCCCAGCTACCTTGAGCACATGCTGTCAGGATCTTCTGGGGCTGTGTCAGGGGACCTTGGTCACCTATATTTGGCTCAGAAGAAATCTCTTGAAATATTTTACAGAACTTAACTCTTTTCATTGACAGAACCTTAGAATTTAGGGTGGGAAGACCCAGAACTTGCAAGTTTATGTGAGGAAGAGCAGAGAGAAGAGGATTGCCTCTCTCTGCTACTGAAGATGGAATGCCTGTTGCTTGCAGGACTTAGGATACATGGAGGGTGGGAAGACCAGAGCCAGCAGGGCTTCCCTCATTCTAGGAAAGTAGCAAAGTGGAGATCAGAGGGGAAGAAGCTATTAATTAACTGCATTCCTTCTTTCCCCAGGAGCAGCCAGAGTGGAGAAACTACATTCATCTTTAGATGAGCAGAGGAGGAAGTTTTAGCAAACTGGAAGGTAATTTATCCTAAGGAAACTCCAAATTATCATTTTGAAAGCCATTACAGTAGCAGGAAAAAAAGAAAAAGCAACAGAACTACTTTCACCTCCACTAGAAAGACAGCAAAGTTAGAAAGTATAGCTTTCAGGCACAAAAATTATTTGCCCAGCCAGTAATCTGGGAAACATTTGATATTTGTTTTCCTCCCCTCAACCCCAAAATAATGTGTAGGAACAGGTGTTTAAGATTTTGGATAAATAATGAATTAATGAAGAAATTCCCGTCTCTCAGCCACAGAGTAGGCCTGAACTCAGAAGTGCTCCTGAAGTGTCAGATGCATAAATGAGAACAATAAGGACTCCAGCGTGCTTCTCCTTCAATGCAGAATGTGGCTGAAGGTCTTGGGCAGTGTAATTTTATTCCTTCACCATGAAGGGTGGGAATATATCATCTTTAAGGGATGGCCCTTGAGTAATCCAGGGAACAGCTGAGGCATGGGGCTGTGGTCTGAGGCCAAAGGTCTGACTTATCCCTAGGGCATTGTAACTGGGGGTGTTTCACCTCTTCCTGACCTAGGTCCTGCTTCCACTGGAGGGAGGCCTCTTTGCCATCGTGTTCATGGCTGGCTCGTACTGGACTCTGGTCCCTCCCACGACATTGTCAAGCAGGGGTACCCTGCAAATGACTTGCATGGCTATTTTCTCAATTTTCAAAGGGATAGTATATAATTAGTAACATTCTAATTGCATAGAAATAATTTATGATTCAAAGAATGCCTTATGGCGTGGAGGCTTAATTCTTGTGAAACTCCACTTGAGGACCGGAATACTTTACCTCAACTGAACATAGACCTTTGGTCTGAACAAAAGGGTCCTTCACATTCTGCTCAGCCAAATCACTTCCCCAACGTCCTCAAAACCTTTCCAAGTATTTATTGCCTCCTGGAAATATTTTCTTTCTTAAATGCATGATTCCAACCCAGACCCTCTACAGTGGGGCTCGCCAGATGAAAGAGATGAGAGAAGACAGAAAGCCTTGGAGTCAAACAGACCTGGTTCAAATCCTAGCTCTGCTGCTTACCAGCTGCATGACTTGGGATAACTTATGAGCTTCAACTTCCTCATTTGTAAAATGAAGATTAAAAGAGATAAAGCACAGATAGTTCAGTTCCTGTTGCATAGATGGCTGTTTCAGTAATCTATGAGTAACAAACCATTTCAAAATTTAGTGGCTTGAAACAACAGCCACTACTGATTTGCTCATGATTTTACAATTTGGGCAGGGCTCTGCAGGGATGACTTGTCTCTACTCTACAAGGTGTTGATTGGGCTTAGCTGGGGCTGCAGGGTCCAAGGTGGCCACATGTGTCCAGGGCCATGGTGCTGGCTCTCAGCTACGATGCTTGGTTGTCCTCCATGTGGCCTCTCATAATTCAGTAATCTAGCCTGAGATCCTTTCAATGGGAGCTAAATTCTTTTCTTTTTTTTTTTAGACGAAGTCTCGCACTGTCGCCCAGGCTGTAGTGCAGTGGTGCGTTCACGGCTCACTGCAATCTCCACCCCCTGGGTTCAAGCAATTCTCCTGCCTCAACCTCCTGAGTAGCTGGGATTACAGGCATGCGCCATCACGCCCAGATAATTTTTTTGTATTTTTAGTAGAGATGGGGTTTCACCATGTTGGCCCAGATGGTCTTGATCTCCTGACCTCGTGATCCTCCCATCTCGGCCTCCTAAAGTGCTGATTACAAGTGTGAGTCACCGTGCCCGGCTGGGAGCTGACTTCTAAAAGGAAACGCAGAAACTCTGGTACCTCTTAAGACCCAGACCAGGACCAGCGCCACATCACTTCTGCTACATTCTTTGGTCAAAGCAAGTCACATGATTCAAGGGAAGGGAAAATAGTCTCCAGCTCTTGATGAGAGGAGCACCACGCTCATACAAAATAGGAGGAACTGTTATCATCTTCTGCAGATTCTATCACAGAACACCTTCAATGTCTTATTTGTCATCAGAATAAAAACAAAGCTAATCAAGGGAACTTCACCTTCATTCTTTCCCCAGGGCTTAATGTGACTCTGCTCCAATTTCTTTTCTTTTCTTTCTTTTTTTTTGACAGAGTCTCATTCTCTTGCCCAAGCTGAAGTGCAGAGGCATGATCTCAGCTCACTGCAACCTCTGCCTCCTGGGTTCAAGCAATTCTCCTGCCTCAGCCTCCCGAGTAGTTGGGATTACAGGCGTCTGCCACATGCTTGTCAATTTTTTTTGTATTTTTAATAGAGATAGGGTTTCACCATGTTGGTCAGGCTGAGTTTGAATTCTTGACCTCAAGCGATTCGCCCGCCTTGGCCTCCCAAAGTGCTGGGATTACAAGTGTTAGCCACTGCGCCCAGCCTAATTTTTGTATTTTTAGTAGAGACAGGGTTTCACCACATTGGCCGGGCTGGTCTCGAACTCCTGACCTCAAATGATCCATCCACCTCAGCCTCCCAAAGTGCTGTGATTACAGGTGTGAGCCACAGTGCCAGACCTCCAATTTCTTGAGTATCATTACGGCCCTCAGGTCTTGGAGCTCTGTCTTTAATTAGCTATATGTATATTAGTGTTCTGCTGTTTGCCTCGTTGCGGTGGATGAGCGTCCTGTTATCCCAACTTAAATTGGAACGCCCATAGAGGCAGAGAGTAAGTCACCTTTGGCATCTCTTTCCAGCACTTGGTACTGTGGAGAGTTGAATTTGGTTCTGTCATAGATGCCTAGGGAAAAGGACAGCGTTAGAAACCTCTGTGGAAGAGAATGTGGATGTGGGAATAGATAGGGGAGCCTTAGGGCCCTGAGGTTCTTTACAGCCTGGCTAAAGGATGGCAGCTTTCCAAATGTTTCATAAAAAGTCTGAAATACAGGGACACTTAGGCACTGGGGAGTCACACATTTATTTAGAGGAATCCAAACCAGACACGGTGCCGAAGCTCCTGGAGGACAGAGTCTCACCACGGGCGGGCTTCATGGAGGCACTGGAAAGAGAGAGCACTTTGTAGCCATGACAGCAAACCGCCAGAGCACACCAGGCTGCTGAGGGCATCCTCCTCACGGTCCCTGGCTCCTGTGCCATGAATTCACTTCATTGCTGGGCACTGGCTGTGAGAGAGGGAAAGGGGCAACTAGCTCGAATACAAATAACATTAACACAGAGCGGGAGATGAGGGAGGGAGAGCTGTCTCTGCAAGCCGACTGTGGGAGAGCGCTTTTCTGAGAAGTCTGGACTTGTAACGCATCCCTTAGGGCTTTCATTTGCTACATACCAGTGAGAGCCTTAAATAAATGTCTTCTGAGATCAAATTCATTTTCAATTTCCATCAGCCAGCAGCTACAAGTCAGAGGGGACACTGGGAACTTGTTCTCTTTCGTTCTATCTCAAGCTTCTTTTTCACCTTATGCCTCAGTTTGTACACAACATACCTACTGTGAATGATGGAAAATCTAACGGAGCTGTCAAGTTCTAAATGATGAGCTGAGTTGCCTTTTGCCAGTAATGTGCTGCTTGGGACCACACACCTAAAGATTAAATTATAATTGACATAAATGAGAAGGAGGATTTTCTTCTCTTGGAAGGGAAGGAATCCATAAGCTTTAAAGTAAAAAACAAATGTATTAATCTGTTTTTTACCATGCTTATGATCCGGAGGTGTTTAGTCAATCAAGAGGGGCAGCCTCCCTGTCCTTACCACTCCACAGGCATGTAGCGCTGTGACTCCTGTGGGTTCCTGCACTCTGAATTGTTCCCTTGATGTCTTTTCCTACAATACCTGCCCAGATCCCTCCCACAGAACCTCTTTCTGACTAGGTGGATGCTATCACTCTTCTTCAGAGGACCATTAGGTTTAATTCCTACCATCGACTTGAGGAGTGCAGACATAGAGAGGATATGACAAAAGCAGACTGCAGCTAGTATAAATTCTCTCCACAAGGATGATGATATTCGCTTTTAAAAATGGTTACAACAGCTGGGCTTGGTGGCTCACACCTGTAATCCCAGCACTTTGGGAGGCCGAGGCAGGCAGATCACTTGAGGTCAGGAGTTTAAGACCAGCCTGGCCAACATGGTGAAACTCCATCATTACTAAAAATTACAGGCATGGTGGCATGTGCCTGTAATCCCAGCTACTTGGGAGGCTGAGGCAGGAGAATCACTTGAACCCAAGAGGTGGAGGTTGCAGTGAGCCAAGATGGCGTCACTGCATTCCAGCCTGGACAACAGAACAAGACTTCACCTCAAAAAAAAAAAAAAAAAAAAGGTTACAACAAAAGTGGTCACCAGTGGATACGTGACTGAAAGGCTCAGGAATGCACCTCTGTCCCTGACTCAACAAAACTAGCCATAGCCAGGCACAGTGGCTCACGCCTATAATTCCAGCACTTTGGGAGGCTGAGGCGGGCAGATCATGAGGTCAAGAGATCGAGACCATTCTGACCAACATGGTGAAACCCCGTCTCTACCAAAAATACAAAAAAAATTAGCTGGGCATGGTGGCGCGTGCCCATAGTCCCAGCTACTGGGGAGGCTGAGGCAGGAGAATTGCTTGAACCCGGGAGGCAGAGGTTGCAGTGAGCCAAGATCACACCCATTGCACTCCAGCCTCGATAACAAGCACGAAACTCTGTCTCAAAAAAAAAAAAAAAAAATACTAGCCATAAACATGAACTAATCCATTGAGACACCTTGCCTCTCTTTACTTACCTTTACCAGAGTACCGCATCCTCTTAGGTGTCCTCAATTAGGAACTGCAATAATTGAGACATTTCTCAGTGTTAACATCTCAGAAATCTGAGAAACCTTTCAGAGCATTGGAAAGGAATATTCTATTTCAGGTTTTTGGGGAGTCAATGGTGCTATTTAGGTAGTCTATACACAGAGAAGACCGGACACGTAAGGGCTCGTTCATTCTCGATTCATGCAACAAACATTTAGAGTGCCCACTGTGTGTCAGAAACCGGGCTAGACACTGCAGGGACAAAGGCGATTAAGACACCATCTCTGCCATCAAAGTGTTTATAATTTAATAGGGAAACAGATCTATAGATAATCATAAAACAATATGTTAAACACAAAGATAGAGGTCTGAACTAGGTGACAGGTATAGATAAGTGACTAAATACTTTAAGGAAGTAGAGAGGATTGCAATATTACCTTTAAACAAACCAAAGGGGAAAGTGGAATAAAGCCCAACAAACAGTTGCAGCTTTCCTAGGCTGAGTCAGAAGATTGCATGGCATAAAGAAAACGATCTGAGTGAGGACCAAGAGACCTCGGCTCTTTCCACCGGTGCCAGGTGGTCAATTAACTGACACTGGAACTCTTGGGCAAACCAGTTCCCTCCCTATACTTTTGTTTTCTCCTTTGCAAAATGGAAATAATAACTCTTCCTATATTATTAAATTACAATGGAGAGACATGAGATAGTAGATAATTAAAATATTTCTGCTGGGCGCAGTGGCTCACACCTGTAATCCCAGAACTTTGGGAGGCCGAGGCAGGTGGATCATGAGGTCAGGAGATCGAGACCATCCTGGTCAACAAGGTGAAACCATGTCTCTACTAAAAATACAAAAAATTGGCTGGGCATGGTGGTGCGTGCCTGTAATCCTAGCTACTCAGGAGGCTGAGGCAGGAGAATTGCCTGAACCCAGGAAGTGGAGGTTGTGGTGAGCTGAGATCGTGCTATTGCACTCCAGCCTAGGCAACAAGAGTGAAACTCCGTCTCAAAATAAAATAAAATAAAATATTTCCTCCAGGCTGGGCATTGTGGCTCACGCCTGTAATCCCAGCACTTTGGGAGGCCGAGACAAGTGGATCATGAGGTCAGGAGTTCAAGACCAGCCTGATCAACATGGTGAAACCCTGTCTCTACTAAAAATACAAACCTTAGCTGGGCGAGGTAGCACGTGCCTGTAATCCCAGCTACTCAGGAGGCTGAGGCAGGAGAATTGCCTGAACCCAGGAAGTGGAGGTTGTGGTGAGCTGAGATCGTGCTATTGCACTCCAGCCTAGGCAACAAGAGTGAAACTCCGTCTCAAAATAAAATAAAATAAAATATTTCCTCCAGGCTGGGCATTGTGGCTCACGCCTGTAATCCCAGCACTTTGGGAGGCCGAGACAAGTGGATCATGAGGTCAGGAGTTCAAGACCAGCCTGATCAACATGGTGAAACCCTGTCTCTACTAAAAATACAAACCTTAGCTGGGCAAGGTAGCACGTGCCTGTAATCCCAGCTACTCAGGAGGCTGAGGCAGAAGAACCACTTGAACCTGGGAAGTGGAGGTTGCAGTGAGCCAAGATTGCTCCACTGCACTCCAGCTTGGGTGACAGAGTGACATTCTATCTCAAAAAACAAAAAAGTAGGCTGGGCATGGTGGCTCCTGCCTATAATCCCAGCACTTTGGGAGGCCGAGGCTGGTGGATCACGGGGTCAGGAGATTGAGACCATCCTGGTCAACAAGGTGAAACCACGTCTCTACTAAAAATACAAAAATTAGCTGGGCATGGTGGCGCACGCCTGTAATCCCAGCTACTCGGGAGGCTGAGGCAGGAGAATTGCCTGAACCCAGGAGGCGGAGGTTACGGTGAGCCGAGATCATGTCATTGCACTCCAGCCTAGGCAACAAGAGCGAAACTCTGTCTCAAAAATATAAATAAATAAATAAATTAATTAAAGTAAAATATCTCTTCCGATACATCCTGATGATGACAATGATGAGAGTGTCCAGCAGGGGAACCCCTCCTCTACCTAGACTTGCATCTCTGGCCCTTGACTCTTCCACGGTGGAGAGAGGAGCTGACTGGTAGCCTAAGGCGCTAATTCTCCTCTTGCCCTTACCTTTCACATCCACCCGACAGTCCACAGATGCCTCCCCTAGGGCGTTCACTGCCTTGCAGGTATAGATGCCTCCATCAAAGGGACCAGGCTTGCGGATCTCTAGGGAGCAGATCCCCAGGTGAGTCAGGGCTCTGTACTTAGGGTTGCCTTGGATATCCATCTTGTTCTTCAGCCAGATGATCTTGGGCTGGAAAACAAAGATGAGGAAGACAGCAAGGAGGAGCGGGGGTAAGAACCAACGGTCTCTCTGTGCTCAGTCTTTGGGACTCTGTCCACATATAGATAATGGCTTTTTAGAGGGCTCCCATTGTGGAAAGGGGCTCCTCTGCCAGTACCTTCAGCAGTCCCTCACGCTCCTTCTCTTGGTTGAAAATAGCACCTGAAACCTCACTTTCTTCACCAATATTTCTGACTGGAAGAAAACTCCTAACTTCTCTTCCATGCTCTCAGGCAGCCCCTTTATGGCTCAGAAGCACTGAGCATCTCCTCTTGTGAATCATTTGTATTCTGTTCCCACTGCTCACTTATGAGCTGCCTCTGACACCTCTGGTTAGAGAATAGTTTCTAGAGTGGGCTGTTGATGTCCCCCTTCTGAGATGTTATCTCCATGTAGTCTGGTCCAGTCTCAAAACCCAAAAGGTTGTTGGTACGGGTTGTTAATGGTGTTTAATCCTGCGTTCGGAGCATGATGACTAGATTGTAAACAGAGAGGCCTTGCTCAGGGTTGCGGCCAAAGGCTGAACTCTAGGCAGTTTGCATGTGCACGGCCCTGATTGGATGAGGTACAGATAGGTAAGGAGAAACCACCGGGATGCCGTCACTCCCACCAGAGAAGCAACTTGAAGCACATGCCTAATTGCCTGCAGGTCGGTAAGCAACAACTTCATATATGAGGAACAAACACTCAAAAGGAAATGTCATTCTCATCAGTCCGTCCTGGACTCCAGCTACCCCAACTATTCCTGAATACCGTGCTGTTGAAGAGGCAGATGATGGTGATGGTAACAGATGTTATGTTACAACGCTCTGCAACTCAGCTTAGGTTAGGACAGGTAGGAACATGAAGCGGCTCAGCACAGCACCCCCCAGAACCCCCACTCACCCGGGGAGAGGCACGGACACAGCAGAAGAGCTGGGTATTATAGCCGGTGACTGTAGTGCAGTCGGCCAGAGGCTGGGTAAACTTTGGGGCTTCAGAAAAGTCTCGCTGGGCAAACCCCTTGGTCTTGTAAACAGTAGCTGAGGGCACCAAGAGGGACCAGGATGTAGATTCTGCGATCCCAGCCCTTGTCGACTCTTTATCCTTAAGTCTTTTTTTTTTTTTTTTCCTGAGATAGAGTCTCACTCTGTTGCCCAGGCTGGAGTGCAGTGGTGTGATCTTGGCTCACTGCAACCTCCGCCTCTCTAATTCAAGCAATTCTCCTGCCTCGGCCTCCTGAGGAGCTGGGAATACAGGCATGCACCACCATGCCTGGCTAATTTTTGTGTTTTTAGTAGAGATGAGGTTTCACCATGTTGGCCTGGCTGGTCTTGAACTCCTGACCTCAGGTGATCCGCCCGCCTTGGCCTCCCAAAGTTCTGGGATTAATGGGCGTGAGCCACTGCGCCAGGCCTATCCTTAAGTCTTCCCAGCTTACAGTCCCATGCCCTCCTTACCTGCTTTCTGGATGTGGGCGAGGTCAGTGGTGATGGGGGCTGTTTCACTGAGTCCGCACTGGTTTTCAGCAAAGACGCGGAAGGCATAGGAGTTGCCGATGATGAGGTCGGAGACAACGCAGCTGGTGCGGTGATAGTGCTCCAGCACCGTGAACCACAGCTGCGGGGCCCCGACATGATGCCACAAATCAGCCACCCGACGTGGAGCTAGCACAGGCCTGTTCCAGCATGCCCTCTTCCACCCTCCTTCCTTCCCAGCTGGCCTCACCCCAGATTTTGTGTCAGCCTTCTGCACCGTGTATCCCAGGAGTGCTGTATTGCCTGTATCTTGGGGAGGTGTCCATTCCAGGGTAGCGTTGAAGCCCCAGACGTCTACCAGCTTAATACTCTGAGGAGGGCCTGGCCTCTCTGAAAGGGCAAAGCTATGGCAGTGGGTGTGGAATAGCCCACATGCATTGAAGTCACCTCAGGAGTGCCCCGGCCCCTTTTCCTGCTAGCTACCCCTTCTGCACCAACCCTGTGTCCCAGATATAATGTGGGGGCCTTGCAGCAGCTTCCCCAGCTCTCTGAGCTGGCTCCTCTTCAGCCTGGAAAGGGAGTTTCTGAGGACCGCCCCCCTATGTCCCACTCCCCCCACCGTACCAATCACCAGGATGTCAATGGTGGCCGTGGCCTCCAGCCCGCCTAGCTGGACACGGAGTTGGTAGCGACCTGAGTCAGCACGTTGGGCTTCTCGGATGAAGAGGATGGAGTCTCGCTCCCCATTCCGCACGCTCACACGGCTGGTGTCCAAGGCACAGCCATCGTGTGTCCAGGTGGCTTGAGGTTTGGGCTTGCCCTGAGGAACGAGGGTAACGCTTTGAGCAGCCCCGAGAGGCTTCTTGACTTTCCCTGCTGCTGTAGGGGTCCCGTCCACCCCAGGTTCACAGGGAGGCTTGACTTGGAGCTGCACATTCCTTGAGTTAGAAGTTGGTGGACCCTCCTGAGGGCCTCCTCCTTTCAGCAACAGCCTAAGGATCTTGGGAAAGAGGGATGGCATTGAGTCTCCCAACCTCTGAGAGCTTACGTCATGGACACCCGAGGCAGCTGGGACCGACTAAATAGCTACTCAAACTCTTAAGAACTCTCCTAATCGCAAGCTCCCAGGCCTCTGCAGACTAAAGGGCATGGATCCGCCTCACACCATCTCATGGGGCACACTTAGTCCTACCCAAACCCACCCTTAGGAGTGCAGAGGTCATTTGGCCTCAGACTTCTGGTGGCGTGACCCCTTCTATCCAAGGGTGGGAAGATTGCCCCTCTGCTAGCCGGACTCTTAGTATCTGCTTCCAAATCCAAAGCCTGGGCTGGCCCCAGACATAGACCGAGTATGGGGCTGGCATGATCACCTGGAATGGGATTAGTAGGTTCACTGTGTCCCCAACCTTCCGGATGTAGGTCTGCCTCAGGGCCCGAGGTAGCCAGATCTTGGGGTGCTCTGAATGATGGAGAGAGAGAGAGAACAGGAGATACTCAGAGAAAGTAAATCCTGTGTCCAGCTGCCTGGGTGCGTGGGTGGCCCAGGAGTCAGCCACCAAATCAAGCCCTTCTTAGAGGGAAGGGGAAGAGTGCTCCCATCATCCTGCTGGGATTTGGGGGTGAGGGGTTGGCTTAAGGAACGCCTTGGGGAACGTTAAGGTCTCAGCAGAAAGAGTACTGGAGCTCGAGTCTGACACTTCTAATTTGTAACTCTCAAGTGCTGACTTTCCATCATCTGGAGGCATTCCATCCTGATGGAGGCATTTTTATTTTTCTGCTTGTGTATAGACCAGCCTCGTCTGTGTGGTTTGCCTTTCCACCCCTTTTCTACATTTGCCCTTACCTTTCTTTCCATCGTGGCCACTTTTCACATTAATCCTGACCTCCCAGTTAGGTATGAAGCTTGGGGGAATGCTCTCCATTCTGCAGGCAAAGTCAACACCCTGGCCTGCCCGGCCACCCACAGAGACAACGCTGACATCACTGCAGAGGGAGCGCGTGTCTGGGTCCCTTACTCTGCCTGGCCACTCTGCTCTCGGGCACCTTTGCAGTCTTATTTCAGTTTTTGGAGGACCACTCTGTACAAACAGATTCTGGGACAGACCAGGTCCACCGCCCATTTCGCCTTGATCTCATGGGCCTGTCGCGGTGAGAAGTGGAGATCAGATAACGGGTATTGGCTTCCAGGATGAAGACAGGAGATGCTGGAAAACTGCTGAGTGTAGGTTCGGAGAATGACCAGGTGTCATTTCTTTCCGCTCGGGATGCCTCACACTGTCTTGGCTGCCAAAGCACAAATATTCCCTCTGGGTTCCCTCGGGGGCCTGGTTGAGATGGACACCATTTTCTAGCCTTTTTCTGACTGCTGTCTCCCCCTTTCTCAGGCAGAGGCAGTTGCCTGGCTGATATTATCTTCAGTAGAATGTGACAGTGCTTCAGTTCCCAACAACCCAGACTCCCTGTGACAGTTCATTCTTGGCAGCTGGAAGAACTTCACCCCTGGTACATTCCTGTGGCAAACAGCGTGACTGCTTGATAGAGGATTCCAGACTCTTTGATAAGGCACACTTCTGCGAAAATACTTCCCTGAGCATTCACTATGACATATGTATGCTCACTTATGGATGAACTGTTTAAATATGTATATTACGTAACACGAACACGTAAGTGACGAAGCCTAAACAGAGGTTCTCCTGTGTTCTTCCTCCAGCTCGATCGTCAGAGTGCTGTCCGGAGAACTTCACTCCCAGAATCTCCCCATGATAATCTCAAGGTCGCAAGACTTTTGCAGATGAAGATCAATAGCAATATACAGTGCACATAGTCCGTTTTCTTTCTGCAGTTTCCTTTTCTGCGGTGTGGCTTATGTTTTCACCTGGGCTGTGCTTGTCTTAGACTGCACCTAGGAATACGTGATGAGAGGACTTGACAGGCCTGTGTGCCATCTTCTGTGCCCTGCTCAGGCCTTGACTGCCTCAGCACAGATGCAGCAGCCCCAGGGAGCTGAGTGATCCTGTTGTGGCTGCCCCCGGTTGGGCTTTGGCGGCTTGGGAGGGGCGGGGCATAAAGAACAGAAGAAACGTTTGTGTGATGGGCTCCTCTCCTGTGGCCGTCTTGGCAAGCAACCAAGGAGTTGAAAACAGGCGGATATGACTTAAGGGTGTTTTGAAAAAGAGGGCCGTGCTTGGAAAGGAGGGTCAAAACCTCATCTTGTTGGGCTTGGTTCCCTACTGCTGGGGGAGGAAATAACCCTTCTTACATTTGCCAGGGAGAGGGCTGGAGACAAGGTGGCTCTGCTGTCCCTTCGTTGCCTGCCTACACAGTGTTGGCGTTGGGAAGGGCCTAGAAGCACCAGAAGAAGGGACGCTGGGAGCAAGAGGGCTCTGAGAGAGAAGCCGGTGTTCGGGAGACCTCCCGGCTAGCAGCGACGATGTGCCTGGCACCTGAGACTCCTGCTTCCCCATTTAGGACTGTGTGTCTGAAGGACCCATTCTCAAAGCATCACCTGTGTCCTGCCTGCCAGCACCCACCCAGCACTGAGCACCAAATCAGGGCTCAGACAGTGGCCCCTGGAGGGAGGAGGCTCAGAGGGAAGGCAGGGCTAGACACACCCAAGGACCGCAAAGGTTGAGGTGGGGAGAGGAGCCCAGGCCCTCACACCTGGCAGAGGTGCCCACTGAACCCTGCCCTGCCAAGACCTCAGGTAGGGAATGGGCTCTTACGGGTAGCTGCGAACTGATGTATGTGTTTCCACCTAGTGTTTGTTTCTTAGAAAAACACCTCGGGGCCGGGCATGTAATCCCAGCACTTTGGGAGGCCGAGGCGGGCAGATCACTTGAGGTTGGGAGTTTGAGACCAGCCTGACCAACATAGAGAAACTCCGTCTCTACTGAAAATACAAAAGTAGCTGGGCATGGTGGCGCATGCCTGTAATCCCAGCTACTCGGGAGGCTGAGGCAGGAGCATTGCTTGACTGGGTGGCGGAGGTTGCAGTGAGCCAAGATCGCATCATTGCACTCCAGCCAGGGTGACAAGAGCAAAAAAACTCCATCTCAAAACAAAAAAAAAAAAAGAAAGTAAAGAAAAACACCTTGGAAAATGTTAGCATTCTTATACCTGAAATAGAGAGAAAAGTAAAAGAAATGGATTTATGTGGAACATAAGCTAAGCGAGGGGCCGGGGGGAGTTAGGGGAAGAGGAGCAGACTGGCCCTTGAGATCCAGAGGGGATCCTAGCTGGGCAGAGAGAGTGAGGAAAGAGGCTGCCGGCAGGGATGGTGGTCTCTCCCTCCCTGGACGGTTCCATTGCTGGTTCTCTGCTCATCAGTGGGTTTCCTGATGAGACAATGAAACTTAAGTCTCTAGTATGGACTTTGAGGATGGGTAGGTGAGGCCTCTGCTCCCAGCAGGCTCCTGGCTCCCTGTGGGAGGGCAGAGGATGGGCGTGGGGCTAACATAGCTGATTACATGCAGAGGTGGCAGGAGAGAGTGTGACAGCTTCTGATGCCCGGTCAGCAGGTCAGCAGCACGCTCTCCAATCACCTCTCAACCCAACCCAGGCGCAATCTGACTCTTTGCTAAGAAAGTTAATGCCGGGGGAGGCATCTCTTTTCACACATCCGCAGTCATGCGAGGTGTAAATTGTCCTGACCTTGGGGAGGCATGGCTTCCCCTGATGCCCGAGATCTTTCTCCTCCTTGGATGCCAGGAGGGATGTGAACCAAAGCCTAGAGACTTTAAGAGCCTAGGTTTTCTAAGAGCAGGTCTGTCACAGTCACAGTTTGGTTTTCTCCCTTCATAGGGTCTTAGAGAAAAGGCATCTTGAAAAGTCCTTTGAGGGCCTTTGGTTGTGACCGGCCTGCTCTGAGCATGACGTGTCTCTCGGACACACTGCTAATTCTTTCTTAAAAATTATCAGAGAAAACTACTTCAAGTCCAGTGATCTTGACTCTGATTAGAAAATTCCTCCTAATACCTACCATGCTTTTATCCTGCTAATGTTTGTGCCCGTTTTCTTACTCTGCAAGTGTTCATATCCTCTCATAATTCCCTTTGATGGGATCAGAGTCTTTCTCCAGCGGCTGCCTTTCTCCATCGTTAGGACTGATGTTACTAGCTATGGCCTGGAGAGCCAAGAATCAACATGGAAGCATTGGAGGAGTGGGGAGGGTGTGTGTTTGTGTGTGTATGTATGACTGTGTATGTGTATGTGTATGAGTATGTGTATGTGTGAATGTATGAATGTGTTTATGTGTCTGTGTGAATGGTGTGTGTGTGTGTGAATGTATGAATGTGTTTACATGTATGAATGTGTGTGAATGGTGTGTGTATGTATGAGAGTGTGGCTGTGTGTGTGTGTGTGTGTGTGTGTGAGAGAGAGAGAGTGCCTACGTGGGTGAAGGGTCACCAAAAGAGGGTGAATTCAGGAGGCTAGCTATAACTTTTAAACTATCTAGAGGTTTCCAGGATTTCTTAGAGAAACATTAGCAGATGCCGAGGATGTGGCCTTGGCCTACTCAGAAGCCTGTCTGGAGGAGTGCAATGGCAAAGGAGTGGGGCAAGAGTGTCACTTTCTTGAAGACCATGAAACTAAGGTCATAAAAAATAAAAGGACATAGGAACAGGCAACACTTCTCCGAGGAAGTGACTTTACTGCCCCCACTGTCTTACAGTCGTCCCTCTAGTGCTTGATGGTTTTAGCCCTGGCTCACCTCCTCTCCACCACTGCTCCAGGCATAACTCCTGTTGGTGTCAACACCTATGTTTCCAGTCCCTATAGGGCGTCTCACATCCGGCCCACCACTCCTCCAATAACTTTGTCCTGTCCTAATTCAGCCACTGGTCCTCGTGGCCATTCTCTAGACCAAGAGCTACAATCCTTCTATGATCAGAATTATAAGCATCCCATCGTCTCCCTCACCACCTCTATAACAGAGATGGCTAACCGGCCACCAGAATATTCTGTAGTGTCGCTACCTCTGAGACATGGTGGCCCAGCTGCCTTGCTGGTTGGCCATGAGACTAGTTCTTGCCAATGACACGTGAGTGGCAATGGTGAGAATCACCTCTGGTCCCAGGCTTTGAAGAAGTTGCATTTTTATTTTCCTCTTCTGCTAGCCATGCGCAGATGATCATGGGGCCCTAAGGAATGGCGGAGCCCCAAGATGAAAGCCACCTGGGTCCCTGAATTACCACATGGAGGAGAACTATCTGTGCAATACAATTGTTTTTAGTTCTTACGCTAGTGAGAAATAGATATCTGTCATTCCTGAGACCTATTTGATCAAGAGCTACAATCCTTACATGATCAGAATTACAAGCATCCCACTGTCTCATCACGACCTCTATAACAGAGATGACTAACTGGCCACCAAAATGTGACATCTGCCATTCATGACATATATTTGAAGAAACATAACTTCTTTAAAGCCTGGGACCAGAAGTGAGTCTCACCATTGCCACTCATGTGTCCTTAGCAAGAACTAGTCTCATAGCCATCTGGCAAGGTGTCCAGGCAGCCACGTCTCAGAGATAGCTAGAAGGGCTGACATACGTTTTGGTGGTCAGTTAACCATCTCTATTACAGAGGTGGAAATGAGACAGTGAGATGCTTGTAATTCTGGTCATAGAAGGATTGTAGCTCTTGGTCTAGAGAATGGCCATGAGGACCAGTGGCTGAATTAGGAGAGGACAAGTATCTACTAGAATACCTAGCGAATACAATCTTTATCCCTTTAGCTCACTTCCTCTCATGCTCCAACACCAGCAATTCTGTGGCATCACTGAGGTCTGTGGTCATTATCCTACCACCCTGTCACTACCCAGCAGCCTTCATGTTAGCACTTTCTTCACCACCCAACTTAGATTACACAGTCGTTATTATACTCTCTTGCACTCACCCAAATCCCTTAATCTGCTTTGACTTCATTGCACTCTTCTGGCAATACCTAACCCTGGTTAAATAAACTTCCCATCCACTCAGTGCCTGTATCTGCACAGAATAACAGGACTGGGAGGAAATACAAAATTATGTGGACTCTAACTTGAGGGCCATTAATAGTGACCACCATCTTCAAGTGGACCCTGGCAATTCTACTAGACTTCCCGAGTTCACTCGGTCTCTCATTCTCCTGGGTGACTAGTGCACACCTTCCTCTTCCAAAACCTCCCTACCTTCTCCCTCATTCTCATTCCCAGTTGTTGATCTTGCTGTGTCTAAGGCTCACCTACAGTCTATTCCAACATAGCCAGATGGAAAAATCCTTAAAATCGACACTTAGGGCTGAGCACAGTGGCTCATGCCTGTAGTCCCGGCACTTTGGGAGGCTGAGGGGGGCAGATGGCGAGGTCAGGAGATCAAGACTATCCCGGCCAACATGGTGAAACCCCGCCTCTACTAAAAATACAAAAATTCGCTGGGCATGGTGGCACGCCTCTAGTCCCAGCTGCTTAGGAGGCTGAGGCAGGAGAATCACTTGAACCTGGGAGGTGGAGGTTGGAGTGAGCCAAGAGCGCGCAACTGCGCTCCATCCAGCCTGGCAACAGAGCGAGACTCCATCTTAAAAAAAAAAAAATCTACACTTGGTCCTGTCAGTCCTTACTCCCAGTCCCTGTACTGGCTGGCCGTCCGTCTCAGAGACAACTACCTGCTACATCTCGCCTTGCTACCTCTCGGACCAAAATGCTGCCACTGTCTCCCTCCCTGTGCTACAGCCACAATGGCCCCAACCCATAAAGCACACTCTTGCCTCAGGGGCTCTGCGGTTATTCTCTCTCTGCGTGGAAAAATTTCCCCAAATATCTGCATGCATTGCTCTCTCACTTCCTTTAAGTCACTGCTCAAATATCACCTTATGAGTGAGGCACTCACTGAATATTCTATTTGAAGCAAGAGGCTTGCATGCTTCCTCCCTGCAGCACGTGCCCTCTCCTTCCCTGCTCTAGTTTGGCATTGCATTTCTCACTATCTGACATATTAGCTATTTTACCTATTTATTGGCTCGCTCCCTCTGCTAGAATCTAACTTCTACGAGGGCAGTTATTTTTACTTATTTTGTTCATTTCTGTAATGTTGGCACCTAGAAGAGCACCTGGCACATCATAGGCACAACCTACATATTTGTGGAAAGGAGGAGTAAAGGAAGGATAGAAGGAAGGAGGGAAGAAAGGTCACGACTAGGCATGAGAGTCAGCTTTTCATGCCTGGAAGACACAGAACAGTTCAGATTGAAAGAGAACACACAGTCAGTCGGAGAGATTATGCTTAAGTCGAGAGATGGGCTCTCCCTCCTCCACCTCAGGGTCTTGGTCTCACCTTCTCCATGGGAGGGATGCAGCTTGTTCGCCAGCCTCTCACTGTTTTGGAAGCTCTCCTCTAGCCCCTGCCAAGCTTTGTCTCCAGGACACAGTGCCTCAGTGTAGAGCTAAGGACAGACATAGAGCTGTTTACCAGTGCTGGCCACCTACTCCTGCTTATTTAGCCATGTGGCCGGCTTGCCAAACTAAAAGCTCATTGTTGGCGATTTGTAGTTTGTTTTGATCTTGCAAATTAATTTCTATTTCTGATGCCTGCTCTAGTTCCCATGTTTTCACATGCCCACTGCAATACTCCCTCAGTCCGGAGCTCTCTTAAGAAAGAGGAGTTAGGAGGAAGAAAGGCTTTGGAGGTCTCAGGGGGCTTTGGGGTCATCTTGTCCAGGCCATGGCACCCTGAAGGATCTTTGTAGGAGGTTTGGGGCTCTGCAGACTCTCTGAACTTTTTTGTATGTGTATTTTTCCCAGGGCAAGAGTCCATAGCTCTCATTAGATTTTCCTAGGGGTCCATATCCACCAAAAAGTTAAGACACTGATTTAGTTCAACTCCTCAATTTACAGATGAGAAAATGGGAGCGGACTGACTTGCCTAGAGCCACAGAACAGAGCTAAGATTTGAACTCATGACTTCTTTTTTCCAAGTAGTTAACAGATGCACATATATTTTGCAAAGTATTCAAAAGTGTTCTTACTGCCGGTGGCATCTGGGATAGCACTGGGTTGAGCCACTGGTGCTAGTGGCCCTGAGGCCTGCAGTGTCCAGAGATGCTGCACACAAGGGGCTTTGGGCTGCATTTGTGGGACCATGGCTAGGGGCTGTCGGGAGCTGGCTGCAGCCAGAAGGGAAAAGCATGGGGGAGATGAATGCCCTCCTTTAGGGTTTTGGGAGACCAGTACAGGGAATCAAGGCTTTAGCAGTCCTGGCTCTTTCTCCTGCTGCCTGTCACTTATTCTCTGGGCCTTTTTTTTTTTTTGAGACGGAGTTTCGCTCTTGTTACCCAGACTGGAGTGCAATGGCACGATCTTGGCTCACCGCAACCTCCGCCTCCTGGGTTCAGGCAATTCTCCTGCCTCAGCCTCCTGAGTAGCTGGCATTACAGGCACGCACCACCATGCCAGGCTAATTTTTTGTATTTTTAGTAGAGATGGGGTTTCGCCTTGTTGACCAGGATGGTCTCGATCTCTTGACCTCGTGATCCACCCGCCTCGGCCTCCCAAAGTGCTGGGATTATAGGCGTGAGTCACCGCGCCCGGCCTCTCTGGGCCTTTTAAGGGAAGAAACTGGTTTTCTGCCTCAGTCACCCCAGCTTAATATATTCACACTAACGTCTGCTCCCTTCATCTTCGATAAGACAAACTTGGCCAGCTCTGTGCCCTTGACATTCAAACAGTTTCTGAAAACCCTCCTCTCCCATGCGGATAAGAGGCAGAGAGCGTCGCTGCACAGCCCTGTGGAAGTAGAACTCAGCCCTCACCCCTCACTTGGAAATATTTGATCATGTATTTACGTCTTAGTTTGGCATCTCCCAAGGCACTTTGGATCATCTCAGCAATCCTTTCAACTACCATGATAGGTAGAGGTTCTTAATTACCATTTTACAGAGTGAAGATTGAAACCGATTAGTTCAGTGCCTTGTCCAAGGTCACAGGGCTGTTAGAGGCAGCACTAGGAATTGAGCCTAGAGCTCTGCCTCCAAGTCTAGTACATCTTTTCCCCTACCTCTTCCTACGCTGGGAGTCCATGTGTTTCTTAAGATTTTTTTCATCCTCTTCACTTAAGATTCCAGGTGAGCGCCACAAAGTGGTTAGCTACAGAGGCCTCAGCCAGAGCATTCGGGGATGGGCGGCAGGAAGCCCAAGGCTGGAATGCGTGCCAACCACCTCCCAACGCCTCTTTGCTGAGAGGCGCACAGAGACCATCACGAAGGGGAAACGGAATGCTTCTCCCAGGAGGGCTCCACTTCTCAGGGCTCCACTGTTCAGACTCTGAGGGGTCAGGCTCTCCCATGGGAGCAGTGGGGGGTTGGAGAAGGTCCTGACCCCATGGCCCAGCCAAGCAGGAGACCAAGTGTCACTGTGCCGCCCCACTCCTAGCCTCCCTGTTGCCACAGCTTTTGATTTCCCTGTTCCTGCTGCAGACAGCCACTATCTCTCACCCCTCAGTCCCTTCCTGACTGGCCATTAGTATGTCAGGTCCTCCCAGTCCCTGCGACCAAGTTTTTAAAAGGCAAAAATATAAACAGATCATTTTTAGTCACTGTAAAGTGCCACCAACACCATCACTGACTTCTCGGCTAAGACACAAAAACCTAGCAGGACCTTTAAGCAACAAGTCAGACTCCAACGATGGGGGACAAGGCTCCCACAAATTATCTCCATCCTAAGTACCAATCCCATAAAGTCTTCAGTTCTGCAAAAAACCTGAGGTGCTGTAAGGAAGGTGGCGACATCCTCCCCAACTCCCACCCTCCCCACCCGCCATAGGTCACCTTCTATAAGGGGCAGGAGCTGGAGAGTGGGGCTGCCAGCTTCCTGTCCAGGTGAAGCCTGGGGTCCTTCAGCATCCGCTGGGCTGGCTTCTTTCACCTTCAGCTTGGATTCTGCAGCCACCTCCGGAGCTGTGGCTGCCTCCATGCTGGGCCTTCCCAGAGGCTGGGCTCCAGCTGAAGATTTTCACTGCTGGTGATGAGGGAGGGGCTGAGCACCTGCTCCCCAGGCTGGCCTCCCGGGTCCCAGTCACAGGGTTACGTAACTGGGCTGGCCTTCCCCAGTCAGCTACGCCTAGCCGAAGGGCTGAAGTAGGGGCTGGGGGAGAGAGGAGGATCAGAGAGCAGCCCAGAATAGCTCTAGGAGGACTGAGGTAGCCATGTTATCTTGGGAGAGAGATGACACCCCCGACAGCTCCAGGGAGGGAGGGAGAGCTTGAACACAGACCATCCAAAAGGGACCTCTGATTTCGGTTGAGAGGGCTGAGTGACATCTCTGCTCCTGACCTCCAGTTCATCCTGCAGGGCATTCAGGTCCCAAAGAAGGGGCCCAGGATTAGCTGACTCACAGCAACGCCTGAACTGCTTTCTCCCTCTGCTCCCACATTCAGTGAGTTGTAAAGTCTTATCAACTCGCCCTTTACAGGGCCTGTGTCATCCTCCCCCACTCCCTGGGGGCAGCAGGCACAGCACAGTTGTAGGTGGAGACCGCACTGGCACTGACTGCGGTGCCACTTGGGCTCTGTCACCAGCTAGCTGTGTGACTCACAACACATCAGTCTCTCTTCAGTCTGTTTCCTCATCTGTAAAATGGAGATAATTATAACCATAGGGTCGTTGTGAGGATTAAGGAGGTAATCTCTGTGAAGTGCTTAGCAGAGTGTAGCCGACTAAGTGCTTGATACATGTAAGCTATTTTTAGGTCAGGCCAGCATTTCTCCCTTTGAGAGCTGTCAATGGCTGCCTTGCCTATGAGATGAAGTACAAATAAAAGGAGAGGCAGCAGTGGTGCAGGGAGGCGAGCTCAGACGACCTGCGTGTGACTTCTGGCTGTACCATTCACTCACGAGCTGGGACTCTGGGCAAATCTCCGACTCAGAACCTCAGGTCCCAGTCTATGAAGCAAGGGATGCTGCTGCCATCATCCCTTGTGTTGAGGACGAAATAAAAAGTATAGGAAAGCAGCCAGCTCACAGCAGGTGCTAGTCACATACTACAGGTCCTACATGATTTCCAGGCTTAGCAAACCATCTTTCTACAAGTGTACATGCCGCCGACACTGCTGCTTTCCTATCATACTCCTTACCTTCTTATCTCCAGAAGCCACCATTCCTTCTGCATTTTAAAATGCTTTAATTTTAGAGCAGTTTTAGAGTCACATTAAAGTTGAGTGGAAAGTGCAGGGTTTCCATAGCCCCCTTTCCACCCGTATTTTTATCATGGAAAAAAAATGGGTGCAATTGAAGGAATGGGCTTCTTACTCACTTTTGCCCTGAATTTTGGGGTAATTCATAAGATTCCAGGAGCCTGTGTTGTCCTGGGGTCACAGAAGGTCAGCCTCTTTGTAGCTGGTATAGGGGCTGAGGTTCAGGAGAATCTGTTTAATGGGGCCTTGGATGGCCTATGGGGCTGGTGTGATTGGCGGAAGACTGGGTTTTTGCCATATCAGAATTGGTTTGAAGGTCTTTCTGAACTATTTCTCTTGCTTGACCTCAGCCAAGGCCCCGTAAGTGTGGACAGTCCCCTGGCCAGGAGACCCCAAATACACCCCCCTTTACACAACACTTGTAACCCATCTTTTGGAGAAAATTGGCTCAGGCTGAGTCTTAGCCCTTTGTTGAAATGAAGGTGTAAAGAATCAACTTTAAGATGCAGATTCCTAAGGTTTGCATTTCAGGAAGTCGAATTCAATAGATCTGAGGTGGAATTCAGAAATCTGCATTTAAAAAACCAACCCAGTGATTCTGGCGCAGAAAATCTTAGAATATCATGTTAAATAGAATCCCTTCAAATAAAACAACGACCTTAGATAATGTCCTGGGTAGGAACTCTCCCATCAGATGGTGACCTCAAGAACAAGGACTTTGCCCTGTCATTTTCAGACCAAGATGCCAGTGTTACATGGAATACTGCCCCAGGCTGGCAGAGTAGGATGGTTAAAGGCTCCAGACAGGTAGGCAGGAACCTCTCTTAAACGCTTTGCAAGAGAGGAAGGCTGCAACTCTCCGAAGTTCCTTAAGTGAAATGGAGGAGCTAGGGCCCGTAAGAGCAGCAAGACAAATGTAAGAGGGGCAGATAGGAAATTACAAGGCTGAACTTCTCAGTGCTTCCAGGTGTCAAACCTGCTCAAAAGAACACAGAATTCAAGGAGTAATTATTTGTTGCTGTGTCCAGAAGGAAGAACAGTATAGCAACTGAAAACTGTGAAGGTATGTGCGATGGGCACCTAGACTTTCTAGGAGGAAGAACAAGAAAGCTAGTTGTACACACACGCAGAGGAGGAAGATGTGTATGAGTACGAAGAGCAAGAAAATGGAGAACAATAAAATTAGGTAATTTATGGGGAAAACAGCTCACAAAAATGCGAGCTATTGTCCTCACAGATGATCCAATACATTTCATGCTATAAATGTACAGCCTGGCTCTTTGACTGGCCTATTCTCTGGCTGCTGAAGTCTGATTCTGAAGCTGGAAAACTGGAAGAAGTATCATATTAACAAACTGTAGCTTAGTCATTTCAGTAGGTCAGATAACAAAGTCCAGTCTGTTTTATTTTTAACCCAAATATTGCAAATATACAGAAAATTACCAGTACAAAGTTAAACACATTTGAATTTATTTACACAATGCTAAAGAAATTTAAGTTTTATTTCCATTTGTGGAATTATGGGGTCTGGCTTTAATGTGTAACTGATGTGGGTCACTGAAACTCGATTATCCCACCTCACATGCAATTTTCTGTCCCAAGGGAATAGAAAACTTGGGTTTTTAGGGCACATGCAGTAATGATCTTAATACTGCTTTACACTTTGGTAGGAAGGCAGCTGTCCCACAGCTTGGGGAAGGACCACATGCTCAGAAAAGGAACGAGAGAGGAGAGAGGGTTGAACAACAGGCACATGGGGACCCTGAGCATTTCTGTGCACGAGGATAAGGAGAGTATGACTAAAACCCTCCTCCCTAGAGGTCCAAACACAGGAGGTGGGCCAAATCATCAAGGAACAGTCAGTCACCTGCTCGTGGCTGAGGGCATGCGGAGGATGAGCACTACATTAAGGATCTGGGGCATAGCAATAAATCATTACCATGTACACTATACAGTTTATACATGTATATATGTACACACACATATATATATAAAGGTACAGATTAGTTTGTTATTCCTCATAAACAGGTACACTTAAGAATGTACTGGTGTGAAGAAATGCATACTGCAAGTTGTTTCGAATTAATGTTCTGACTCTTATTGTTATTATAATGTAACATAACCCAGAAATCAACATGCTCCTGCTATTTCAATGATGCTTCTTGAGGGCAAGGCCTGGGCTCTGCTAGGGCAGGATGGTGCTCCTAGAGCTGCTACCTGAGCTGGACAAACGCGTGGCAGATGGAACATAAAGTCTGGCACCTGCTGACTCTGGCCCTCCCTGTCACTTCATCACACAGCAAATCTTAAAACTTTGGTTTTGTTCAAAGGACGTTTAAGTCCATGTTCCATTTTCCTGCTTCAGGGAAGATGGCAGCAAAGTTGAAAGACGAATCCCTTCCTGTTTTAGCAGTTCCAAGTATCCTGGATGAATATGGGGGTGAGGGGCTACACTGACAGTGAGCAGGATGCGCTCTAGGTCATTGTGGACAGGTGTGGGGCTCTTGAGAGCGCTGCTAAAAGGAAACAGGGAACCTCTACCTGAATGGTTGGCCCGGAAACTAAGTAATGACGAAACACCAGGCCAGCCGTTACCCTGCGGTGGGTGTGGATGGTCCTGGGCTCCTCTCCATATCCTCGTATTGTGACAAAGGCCATGAGAGAACTAGCTCTGGTTTACAGACTTGATGCAGGAGCCGGAGGCAGCCAGCACATTACCAGCCTCTCAGGGATGAAAGGCCAGCTTGGGCATGAGAGGAAGTGAGAAGTCCATTCAAAGGCAGACGTAGAGTCTAAGTTCCAGTTACACCTGGTTCATGCACTCTTCTGAGCCTACCCCCAGAACTGCTGCAACTCTCTGAAGGCTTTTATTCTTCGAAATAGGTTCCCACTGAATTAACAGCCTACAGGAGAGACCAGGCTGGTCTCTGACCAGAGCTAAAAGAAGAGTGAATTCCTCACCTGGATTTAAGAACTCAGACCACTTTGGACTGGTATGTCCAATCTCTCGTTTTGTTTTGTTTTGTTGTTTTTTCCCTGAGACAGTTTCACTCTGTTGCCCAAGCTGGAGTGCAGTGGCATGATCTCTGCTCACTGCAACATCTACTTCCTGGTTCGAGTGATTCTCCTGCCTCAGCCTCCTGAGTAGCTGGGATTACAGGTGCCCACTAACACACCCAGCTAAATTTTGTACTTTACGTAGAGATGGGGTTTCACTGTGTTGGCCAGGCTGGTCTTGAACTCCTGACCTCAGGTGATCCACCTGCCTCGGTCTCCCAAAGTGCTGGGACTACAGGTGTGAGACACTGTCCAATCTCTCCTATAATGCTAAATTCCATTGCTGAAGCCTCCAGAAATGATCTCTTCTGCTACATCAAGCCTAGGGGTTTATACAATTATATACTATGTTTTACCTTCAAAGATAATGTTCCTAACATGAGTAGGACAAATTAGAAATCTGTATTTTTAGAAGCTGTAATGGATTTGGGCTGTCTTACTTTCTGGCTGAGGGCATACATTTGTGAGTGAGCAGGTTGATAAAGAAAGCTAACTAGTCAATAATGAGAATATGCCAGGCTGGCTGGCTGTCTTCAAACCAATGGAGCTAGCCAGTCTGGAGTGGAAACCAGGATGGGGAGGGAGACCCATCAATGGAGAGTCCACTCCCACACTCTTGAGCAGTGACTCTTAATGAGGGGAGGGGCAGTTTCTAAAAACATATTCAAAATTCCCATTACTTTTGTTTCAGCCATGAAAGACAGGAAAATAGAATCTTCTGTTCACCAAGGTGGCAAAAAGGTGCTGAATGCTGCTCGGAAAGTAATGCCACTGATCCCTTCCTAAAGAACAGCAAGTCCTCTACAAGAAGGCAGCCCTGCTCAGAGATCAGCACTCGCACGCGTAAAGATTTCCAAGAGCTCTGAAGCCAGCCAGCCAGCACTGCTTATCACACACACACGGCGACCCTGAACAACTGACTCCATCCCAAGAACACTGTGAGGTTCAAATGACATTATGTGAGTCAAGGTGCTCTGAAAATTTGCCAAGTTCCACAGAAATCCCAGATATCAGTATAAGCAAAGAGCCCAAATTTTACATGGTTAGTGAAGAATATCAAGGTACATGTACTCACAGTGAGTACATGCTAGGAGAAAGGTGAGTGGTCAAACAGTTCTTTTCCGGACACCGAATTTACTTTAGGCAGGAGGGAGGGTGGGACAGAGGCTGACGCTTTATCATTTGTGAGCTGGTGTATCTTTGAAATTATTTTTAATTTAAAACCATGCAAAATGAACGAGCAAAACGACCAGTGTACTCCAGACCTAACCATATTAATTATCTTCACAAAATCTGCTTTAACTTCGTTTTCCAAGTGAAGCTCCCTGACTCATTTAATTCTATTGCAGTTTCAACGTCTCTAAAACTCTCCATCCACTCTCTCCCCTACTTTCCACGCAGCTGTTAATCCATTCTGGGGAGGAGAGAACTTAGCCATCTGCTCACATTCTGACAAAAGTTAATTTGGCACTTTTTTTAAAAAACTGACTTTCTAGCTACAAAATAAACTAGCAGCAAATGGTATCTACCAAAGAATGTCCCAATCATAATCACTGGGAGAAACTATGACCTGCACAGTAGCTACATTAAGACCAAAAGCTTTCCATATTATATTCCTATATAGCAAATATTCAAGCTGTATTAAAACGAATTATTGCAACTTTCCATTAGTATATGGCCACTCCAAAATTCACCCAACCACATTCTATAATTTGTTTTAGCGAAATATCAAATGGAAAACTTCTTTCAATTCAAAATAAGAACTTAATGTATCACACAAAGCATCATCTAGACTGGAAGTGTGTTTTCAACTGGTTCCTCCAAATTTTCATGCCAACTAATTACTTGGTAAAGCCAGAAAAAAGGGGTGAGGAGGAGAGCCTGGTAATAAAATTCTAATTTTTTAAGTCTATAAATCTGAAAACATCTCTAGTCCTGGTTCCATGTACAACAGCAACCTAAGAAGCAGCAGATATGCAGCCATTGTCATGATTCAGCAATGAGCCACACGACAGGTGAAAAGGGAACATGGAAGACTGTGAGGTTCCATCTTTGGGGGGCCACACTGCGCACCCAACAATCAACTCTAGGGAAGAGATCATTCAGCCCGGGCAGACTTTCAGCCCAGTCTGTACCCTGTCCTTGGGTAAGTCCACTGGCACACACACAAAGCACAGCTTGAAAGATCTCAGAAGAAACAAGAGTTTCTCTTTTAATAGGTGCTAAATCTAGTCAATTCTCTGCTGTTCCCTTCTTCCGGCTGCAAGTTAAAAATATTGCCCTGTAAGTTTTCCTGATTTATTATGTGGGAATCACATGGTTAAGTTAGTTGCCAAGGGGCAATTAATAAGAGTATTGCCTAATTGAAAAGGGGAAAAGAAAAATCACTGTGGTCTGTGGTCTCCGGAAAAAAAAAAAAGGAAGTGGGAGCTGTGTGAGGAGCTGGTGTGCAGTGTTCTTGGAGTAGGGCTGTCCCCAGATGGAGAAAAGCCGGCCAGGCTGTGTCAGCCTCTGCAGCCTCTGTTTTCATCTCTACAGCTGCTTCGTGGCACCAGCAGAGCCCAGGGATGGTACCAAGAACATTGTGAGAGCTGATGCTGGAGTTGGCAGATCCCCTGGGGCAGGCGCCATGCAGAACACACAGAAGTGGGTTAAGTGAAAAGGTCCCTTCGAATTCCATTTCATTTCCCTTAAAAAACAATACAAAAGCCCATACTTTGCAAAGACACAGGACAGGAAATAGGAAGTTAAAGAATTTAAAATGTCCCCCCATTCTCAGAGCCAATTGTAAAAAAGTGCTCAGGGTTCCCCACCCCCACCCTGCATTTCTTTAATGTAGGTCCTTTTGGCTTTGATGGAAGCAGCAGAAACAGAGCTGGGTCCCTCGCAATGGGAAATTTATTTCCCTGAAGTTGGAGCCACAGGGAGTGTAAGAGGTACTGTGGTTCCACCATCCATGCTGGGTCCAGCTCCTCTGAAGAGCTATTCCAAGAGGTCCTGAAAAAGACATGCACTATATTACCAACAGACCACAACACTCTTACTTCAAAAGCAATCACTTAGTTTCTGGGCTTGCCAAATCTTAGGGTTATTAATTGCCTTGGCCCTGGCATATCTTGATCACGAACAGAAGACAGATTTTTTTTCAGGTGTCAGGGAGGGGGACTACCATTCAAGAAGAAATAGCCTCACCTCATCTGAGTCATCATGATAACCACTTTTATTAGTGTGGGAGGCTGTGTCCAAAGCATCCACACCGTCCACGCCGTTGGCCTCTGCGTGCTGCTGCAGCACAGAGTAGCGATGCACCAGGAACCTGGGGATAGAAACCTCCTTAGCACTCGTGTGCCCCACTGGGGTGTTTCTTACAGGACTGTGGACTTTCTCAGTTTTATACACTCAGGAATGCAGCACAGACACAGAAAGCACAGTCCATGGTTGACATATGAAAATGTAAGACATGAGAATATTTGGGCCTGATTTTTCAGAAACAGTATTTGCAAGTACCTAGTTTTTGCCAAGAGCAGACTCAGCCATATGCTCTAGACTGGCTTTCTGGCTTGAACTCAGTACCTTGGATTGACCTCTGTGTTCCTTACCTTCCCCCACAGACATATTTCTTCACAATGAGCACTCCTGCTACAACTGTGACCAGCATCAGTCCCACGATGGCCAGGATAATTGGAACAGAATTTGACTTGGAATTCTTGAGAAATTAAAACACAAACACAGAAGCTTTTAGGCAGGCATATCCTAGGACTGAGGTCAAAGCAGCCACTCATTCCCCTCATCTCTTTATGAATGATCTGCAGTCCTGATGCACTTAATGATGGCTCTTTTCCAATCCCCCAAGATGAACCATCTCAGTGTTACCAGAAGAATATTATAGCTGGCATAGAGTCTTCTGAATTCCACCTGACTTGAACTTTCAAATTTGGTGGCTTAAATGTCAAAGTTACACTGGAAGCCTTGGCAACTGCCTAGATCAGGTATGATTCCTCTGCACTACCACTGTTGACAAGTCTTGGGGCTTAAGGGTGGAGCAGGAAAGGGAGACTACTGTAACAGGCGCTGAATGACTCTAGAACAGGGCCATTATCTGGGAAGAAGCTGTGTCAATGCTATACCAGGCAGGCCATTATATGACACCAAGATTTATTTTTTTACTTAATTTTTGTATGTTACTATAATTAAGCCTTGTCATATCATTGTTTGCATGTGACCTACCTGCTGGAATATGTGTTTTCAATGTATCCCATTGGAGGCGGAGCTGGATTCTGAAACAAGCTGTGTCCCTGTGGGTGGGAGTCCTGTGCGATCCCACACAGAAACACTCTGAGGACAGCCACCAGGAACCCAAGAGAGGGGTGCACAGGAGGAACTTGCTCCCTTACAAATACAGACACCCACACACTCCTCTCCCACCATCTCCTTAATCCCACCCCTTGTGAGTCCCTCATCCCTTAGGATGGCAGAGAGGAGGGGCTGCAGGTTGTCTAGCTTGACCTCTCCTATTATGGATTAGGAAACGCGCCTGCTGTTTAGCATCTGGTCATGCTGCTGGCCTAGTGCTTCTTTTTCAAGAGGTTTCTTCTTTACACATATCCAAATCCACAGGTAGTTGGATTTGGATGCCGTCTCATAACTTTTTTTTTTTTTAAATTGAGACAGGATCTTGGTCTGTCACCCAGGCTGGACTGCAGTGGTAAGATCACAACCCACTGCAGCCTGGACCTCCCAGGCTCAGGTGACTCTCTTGCCTCAGCCTCCTGAGTAGCTGGGACTACAGGCACGCACCACCACATCCAGCTACATTTTTTTTTTTTTTAAAAGATGGGGTTTCTCCATGTTGCCCAGGCTGGTCTCAAACCACTGACCTCAACCGATTTGCCCACCTCAGCCTCCCAAAGTGCTGGGACTATAGAGGTGTGAGCCACTGCACCTGACAGATAACTTGTTCTAAATCAAAACCAGCCCATCACCATAGCTCAATTTTTCACTTTGAAGACACTTAACGTGACTTGGTCAAAGATCACCCTACCTATTGCCCAGTGCTCTTCTCTTCCACACATGCACAATTCCAGGTCATGGACCTTCACAGTCTTTTTTTGGATATGGAATCTTGCTCTGTGGCCCAGGCTGGAGTGCAGCAGTGGGATCTTGACTCACTGCAACTCCCACCTCTCGGGTTCACAGGATTCTACTGCTTCAGCCTCCCGAGTGACTGGGACTACAGGTGTGCACCACTACAGCCAACTAATTTTTTTAATTTTAATTTTTGTATTTTTAGTAGAGACAGGGTTTTACTCTGTTGGCCAGGCTGGTCTTGAACTCCTGACCTCAGTGATCTGCCCACCTCAGACTCCCAAAGTGCTGGTATTACAGGTGTGAGCCACTGCGCCTGGCCCACGGACAACCTTTTTGGGCTTTTCTAAATGACTCTCAGCCTCAGAATTTTCCACAACTGTATGATTTTAAGAATTTTACAACTTTACAGAATTTCATCCCGCCATCCTCAATAAGAAAAGAGCTTTCAGTAGAGCTTATCACTGGGTTACGTGACCCATCCTTCATGCTAACAGCCACGTATGTATAGGGAAGCCTGACCATTTTGTATCATTAACAAAACTCCCAACGCTTTAACTTTGATTTTTCTTGGCAGAACACAAAATCCTATTTGTACCTGAAAACTAGACCTACTTTAACATACCTGCTTTTCCGGACTCAAAAAGTTGCTTGTGCATTTCTTTTTCAAGTCTTTTACTTCTCGAACAGGATTTACCCCACCCTGGCATTTGTCCCCTGGAATTTTCCGGTACCTACCAGGCAGAGAAGATTTGATAATATAAGATAAGGATGTATTCCTGGGTCTCTGCCTATTTCTTGGAAACATGACTTGAAAAGCTACCAAAAAACTTCCCTCCTGACATCATCTTTCAGGCCTAGGGGGATGCCCACAGGGATTTTTGGGGGATATTTTGTGTAGTCTCAGGCCTTGAGCAAACTAAGCATCTCTGTCCCCTGCTGCCAGGAACATGCCTGTTCTTTCTACCTAAGAGGTTGTGCCAAACAAATGTGACCCCAAAAAAGCTTGTTAACAAGTGGTACAAAACGGGAGGGGAGAAGCTATCAGGGGAGGGAGGTCATGAGGCCCCTTTAGAGCAGCATGTCCAATATGGTGGCTACTGAAACTAAAACATGAAAATTTCACTTCCTCGGTTACAACAGTGTCCACAGCCACGTGTGGCTAGTGACTACCACATTGGACACAGCAAATTACAGAACACTTCCATCACCAAAGAAAGTCCTATCAGACGGAGCTCTCCCTGCCTGTGCCTAAACTGTGCCAGATGAGCAATGGACATTCATGGCGGATGGGACGCTTCTGTCATTCTGCCTGTGGGCCCCTCACCTCTCCTCCCTGCCTGGGAGTGGTGGGCAGAAGGCAGGGGTGCAGGATCTGGCTGAGCTTGTTCTCCCGCCCTCTGCCTTGTGGAGTTGGTGGGGTTGAATCCTCTGACACCAAGCACCTGCGGCTTACCTCTTGCAGCTGTCCCTTGAGGGAGGCCTGCACATCCTGCTGCCCCCACCCCGCCAGCCCTCTAAAAAGAGTGCTCTGAAGCAGGGCTTGGATCTCAGAGTAGAGAGAAGCAGTTTTCATTCTGAACAAGGACACCTCATCTGTCATGACAAGGGAGAAAAGGCCACCTCACCCATTTGTTGTTAGGTGTTCTTCTCTTCCATACAGACAAAACTCCAGGTCGTGGCCCTTCAGTTCTGGCTGCTCCACACACTTGGAGTCATTTTCTGGACGGTAGTAGCCAAAATCACTGCAAGAGTCAGCAAATAAAGTACCTTTCAAAGCAGCTGGAAGACAGTAAGTGACTAGCAATGAAGGGTTATGTGGGGCAGTGGATGCTTAACATTCCAGTCTTGGGTTGTTAGAAAGTAGCTCAGGAAGGCCTGTGATGCCTCTGAAGGAGGTTCACTTAGGAAAACAGACATGGAGAGGGCTTCTTTTTTTTGAGATGGAGCCTTGCTCTGTTGCCCAGGATGGAGTACAGTGGCGCCATCTCGGCTCACTGCAACCTCCACCTCCGGGGTTCAAGTGACTTTGCCTCAGCCTCCTGAGTAGCTGGGATTACAGGCACGTGCCACCACGCCCAGCTAATTTTTTTATTTTTAGTAGAGACGGGGTTTCACCATGTCAGTCAGGCTGGTCTTGAACTCCTGACTTCGTGATACGCCCATCTTGGCCTCCCAAAGTGCTGGGATTACAGGCACGAGCCACCATGCCCGGCTAGAGAGAGCTTTATTGAGGAAAAGCAGCTTATGGGTCTGACCTGGTGGGTGTAGGACTAGCTAGGGTCCCAAGGCTGTACACTGTAGGCAGCTCAGGTGCAGGGTGGGGACTGATGTAGCCTGCAGTAGGGTGAGGACCCACACAGAAACCTCAGCATCAGCATCAGCTCTCAATTCAGGGATAGCTGGCAATTCTTTTCTTTTCTCTCTCTTTTTTTGTTTTGAGACAGGGTTCCGCTCTCTTGTCCAGGCTGGAGCATAGTGGCATGAACACTGTAGTCTCAATCACCTAGGCTCAAGTGATCTCCCCACTTCAGCCTCCTAAGTAGCTGGGACCACAGGCATGCGCCACCATGCTAAGCTAATTTTTTGTAAAGATGAGGTCTTGCCATATTGCTCAGGCTGGTGTTGAACTGGGCTCAAGTGATCCATCCACCTCAGACTCCCAAAGTGCCAGCATCACAGGTGTGAACCACTGTGCTTGGCTAATTTTTGTATTTTTTGTAAGGACAGGGTTTCACCATATTGCCCAGCCTGAGCTCAAACTCCTGAGCTCAAGGGATCCACCTGCCTCAGCCTCCTGATGTTTTGGGATCACAGGCATGAGTCACTGTGTCCAGCCCGAAATTCTTTTCTTTACCTCCAAATGTCATTATGATGTTACCCTTGCGGTACATTGCAAATTTTTTGTCTTTCCCACTTCTGTTCCTCTTAGCTTCTTATATAGCCTTTGCCTCCCGTTCTACTCCATCTCTCCATAGTGCCATCCACTGCTCTCCTTTTCCTGCTTTCCCCAAAGAAACAATGTCTGCTGACAATCTCCAGGCTGACTCCCCATGAGTATCCTTGGTCCCACTCCTCCAACCTGCCCTGGGGCCTTGCTTCCCTGAGTTTGAGGGGAACAATCAATCTCTCCCACTCAGCTGGTGGCTTCTCCTTAGTCTGCCTATGTCTTGACCTTAGAAATTATTTCCTTAACCCACCTCTCCCTTACTACCCACATTTGTCAAAAGATTACTTTTTTACTTGTCCTATTTTACGCATTTGTTTTTTCTTCCAATGCATTTTGACTTCGATCCCCTCTGCAACTTTGAAAATGAGTGTCTGGGCTGGGCGTAGTGGCTCACGCCTATAATATTAGCACTTTGGGAGGCTGAGGTGGGCAGATTACCTGAGGTCAGGAGTTTAAGACCAGCCTGGCCAAGATAGTGAAACCCTGTCTCTACTAAAAATACAAACAATCAGCCGGGTGCAGTGGCACACGCCTGTAATCCCAGCTACTCGGGAGGCTGAGGCAGGAGAATTGCTTGAACATGGGAGGCGGAGGTTGAGTTGAGCCGAGATCACACCACTGCACTCCAGCCTGGGTGACAGAGCGAGACTTCATCTCAAAAAAAAAAAAAAAAAAAAAAGAAAAGAAAAAAAAAAAGAAAATGAGTGTTTGCAGTGTCCCCAAGGCTCAATAATCATTAAATTCACTGGAGTCCTCTCTGGTCACATTCCCCCCGACCACCCATTCTGCAGCATCTGACACACCGTTGTGCCCCTGCCCACCTTGGCAATGGCAAAGCTGCACTCATCTGTTTCTCTGGCCACCGCATGCTCTTTTTTCCTAACCCATAAATGTAGTCTTTTGCCAGTGGGTGTGGGGGGGAGGCAGAATGCATTCTCTTGCTTTTTCTCTATCTGTTCTCCCTTAGTGATCACAACTATTTTGGGGTTACAACTAAAACTTCCAGGTTTTACCTCTCTCAAGTTCTAATCCTATATTTCAAATACATGCTGGATATCACCATCTAAATATGCTGACAAAACCTCAAAGAAACAAGACGTTTCTCCTTTGTGCCAGACTCTCCTTATCCCTTTCGTATTTGCCCAGGATACTACTTCCTTCCCACTATCTCAGTGGAACATTTAGCCTGAGCATCCTCCTTTCAGACCCTTACTTATTTAACAGGGCTACTATGACTTCCCCAATGGCTTATCTTCCAGAACACCCTTCCTTGATTATGCTGTTGGTGTCTCTGCTCACAGCAGTCCACTGGCGTTGATGACCTGCTTCTTCCCAGATGCTCATGTTCGAATCCTACCATTTGTCAATGCTCAGCTCATACCACCTCCTCAACAAGACCTTCTTTGACCCAATTCCTTTCAGCTCTAGATGAAATATTCTCTTCCTTTTCTAAATCCCCATGGCACCTGCCACCTTCTGTTGTGCCACAAATTTTCCATTATCACTTTTTTCATTGCCTGTGCACAGCTGGTATTCAACAAGTATTTGGGGAATATATAGATGCTGCTTGTATTTCAAGGTTTTCCTGTTAAGTATTTAGGAGAGTGGGTATAGAGAACAAAAGATGCTGAAGATATCACACCTCCTATAACAGGAGGAAATTCAGGTGAGAGTTTTAGGTACTCAATCCAAAAATTCTGGATTTTTGTGAGTACCCTTCTCACTCATAAAGGACCTAATTTCCAAACATGCGGGCTCTGGAGGTGAGATGCCACCTTCACATCCCAGCTCTTCCAATTCCCATGAGCAAGTTAGTCACGTCCTCTCTGTTGTGAGGTTAAATGTAAATTGCCTAGGATAGTGCCTAGCACAGAGTTAGTGCTCAATAAATGTTAGTTGCTATCATGCTTACATTATTATCAAATATAATATGCTCCCAAGAAATCTGGGGCTTAATGGTGGAAGCAAACCTATAAATAGTAATTAAAGGGCCGGGAGTGGTGGCTTACACCTGTAATCCCAGCACTTTGGGAGGTCAAGGTGGGTGGATCACCTGAGGTCGGGAGTTCAAGACCAGCCTGAACAACATGGAGAAACCCTATCACTACTAAAAATACAAAATTAGCCGGGTGTGGTGGTGCATGTCTGTAATCCTAGCTACTCAGGAGGCTGAGGCAGGAGAATCACTTGAACTCGGGAGGCAGAGATTGCAGTGAGCTGAGATTCAGCCTGGGCAACAAGAGTGAAACTCTATCTCAAAAAAAAAAATGTTATTAAAACATAGTAAGTGCTGTAATAGAACTCTGGGGGTCTAGATGAGGGAAAGCCCATCTAGTGGTGTTACCTGAGCTAAGTACGAAAGGCTAAGTGGGAAGTCGCCAGACTTGGGGGTAAAGCAGGGACTGTGGAGAGACTTTCCAGGCAGAGGAGGCATCGGGAACCACTGCATAGTTGGAGAAGAGCAGAAGCACAGGTGAAGAGCCTGGCATACATGGAGTCAAGGATGGGAGAGAATCCTTTAGAGTATTACAGGTTCATTGATGACCCTAGCCCTACTGGGATACCAAAGGTGATCCTTACGGAAACAGAGAAGGGAGGACCCTTGAGCACGCCACACAAAGGTGTGAGCCATGCAGGAGGAATCATACTGCGTTAGACCTGCATTTTGGTTCGACCTGTATTCTATTGTCACCTGTGGTTTGAGAGAACATCATGTGCAGGGCCACGGCTACTATCTACCTGCCTTCTTTGTCCAAATCCTTTAGGATCTGCTTTTATTTTGTGTCAGTATCTTTTGCAGGTAACAAGTTCCACAGATTATACCTGTGACGTGAAGCCGTTCCACTCATCTGCCTGAAAATTACCTCATTTAAGCTATCCAGGGACTCCTTGCCCTTATATAATCAAGTAACCCTATGCCAGCCAAGTAACTAATCCTTAAGCCTGGATGGTCCTGAACTCTAGGGAGTCCACTTTGATGGCCTCTAAACCTTGATGGGGACCGATCCAAGATGGCCGATCACTAACAGCTCAGGATTGTAGCTCCCAGTGAAAGCTCAGAGAACGAGACGACGCCACACTTTTAGACGAATTTTCGTCACTCATGGATCAGCCGATTCCCAGTGGAGGAGCCCCACGGGTCGCCAGCGCGACTCTTGTGGCCGCCGCAGCTGTTTTGCGCGGCGCAGCAGCTCTTCATGCAGAGCAAACGGGACTGCTTCCCCTACTGACCGCTTCCCCTACTGACCGGAGTTTGGAGCTCCGGGAAGTCAGAGCCGCTTGTTGCGGACTCAAGAGGGAAGCCAGACCAGAGATTCCCGGGCAGAAGAGCACCATCAGTCTTATCGCTGCTATTTAGGCCGCCACAGTGGGTGGCTCGGATCCCAGCACTGGGAATCAATAAATCGGACGTCGACTCAGAAACCTAATTAGAAAGGCGGTTCATCTACAATGAAGGGAAAAAAACAGCCTAAGAAGGCCGAGTATATCCAAAATCAGAACCCATCAGCAACGGAACAAGCCCTGATGGAAAAGGACTCATCAGCAGCAGAACAAGTCCTGATGGAAAAAGACTGTGTTCCATTATCTGAAATAGGCTTTAAAAGGTGGATGATGAGAAACTTCTGGGAGTTAAAGGAACTTGTTCTAACCCAATATAAAGAAACTAAGAACTTTGAAAAAAGGTTCGATGAAATGATGAAAAGAATAGACAATATAGAGAGGAATACAAATGAACTTATGGAGTTGAAATATACAACACGAGAACTTAGTGAAATATGTACAAGCTTAAATAGCCGAATGGATCAAGCAGAAGAAAGGATATCAGAGGTCGAAGACCAACTCAATGAAATAAAACGACAAGACAAGAATAGAGAAAAAAGGATAAAAAGGAATGACCAAAGTCTCCAAAAAATATGAGACTATGTGAAAAGACCTAACATACATTTGATTGGTGTACCTGAATGTGATGGAGAGAATGAATTCAAGCTGGAAAATATTCTTCAGGATATTATCCAGGAAAATTTTCCTAATTTAGCAAAGCAGGACACTATTCAACCCCAGGCAATACGGAGAACACCACAAAGATATTCCTCAAGAAGACCAACCCCAAGGCACATAATCGTTAGATTCACCAGGATAGAAAGGAAGGAGAAAATATTAAGGGCAGCCAGAGGGAAAGATCAGGTTACCCATAAAGGGAAGCCTATTAGGCTTACAGCAGATCTCTCAGCAGAAACCCTACAAGCTAGAAGAGAGTGGGGGCCAATATTCAATATACTTAAAGAACAGAACTTTCAGCCCAGAATTTCATATCCTGCCAATTTAAGCTTTACAACTGAAGGAAAAATAAAATCTTTTAGGAACAAGCAAGTACTCAGAGATTTTATTACCACCAGGCCTGCTTTACAAGAACTTCTAAAAGAAGCATTATACATATAAAGGAACAACCAGTATGAGCCTTTCTAAAAATACACCAAAAAGTAAAGAGCATTAACATAAAGAAGAATTTACATCAACGAAAGGATAAAATAGCCAGTTAATATCAAATGGCAGTAATCCTAAATTTAAATCGACTAAATCCCCCAATCAAAAGATACAGACAAAATCTAACGGTGTATCTAAAGAAATACAAAGACTCAAAATAAAGAATTGGAAAAAAACTTACCGGAGAGCAAAAATAAAAATTAAACGGAGAGCAAAAATAAATACATAAAAAGCAGGAGTTGCAATTCTCACAATTAATAAAATAGATTTCAAAGCTACAAGGATACAAGGGTAAAAGGATTAATGTAATAAGAGATCTTAACACCCAGATACATAAGACCCATAATGAGATTTAGATTCAACGAGACAGAAAATTGATAACGATATCCAGGACTTGAACTCAGATCCAGAACAAATAAACTCAACAGAGCTCTCCATTTTAAACACACAAAATATACATTATCCACTTTAAACACACAAAATATTGATCGGCCATTATTGATACCCATTTTAGGAATGAAGTAATATTTCTTTTTCCCTCTTTTTCTCCTTATCCCTCTTTTTTTTCTCTTTTTCCCTCTTTTTCTTTCTCAAAAAAAAAAAAAAAAAAAAAAAAAACCTTGATGGGACCATGACTATACTGATGTCACCTCTAGTCTTAGGACCAACCACCATCTCTCCGTCTTTATTCTTGGGGAGGATCCAAAACCTAGTGTCCCACCTGCTGAGCTCATGCTGTCAGGCTGCTTTCTTTTTCTTTTTTGTTTGAGATGGGGGTCTCGTCATATTGCTCAGGCTGGTCTTGAACTCCTGACCTCAGGTGATCCACCCACTTAGGGGCTCCCAAAGTGCTGGGTTTATAGGCATGAGCCACCATGCCAGGTCTCAGGCTGTTTTCTCAAGTCCAATTTCCTCTTTGCTCCTCTATCACATTTTTTGGTGTTTTTGTCTTTTCATTTTCTACAGATTTTTGTTTGAATTATTCTTTCTTATATCACTTCTCTCCTTCCCACCACTGTCAACTCAGGATTTCTGGGGTTTGTTGCTGGTTCTGCCCAATAATTAACTGTCTAATATGATTATATTATCTGTCCAATTATTAACAATTTTGGTTTCCTTTCTCTGTGCCTCAGTTTCCTTGATAAGCAGCAGCAGTTCTACACTCATGGGGAAAAGGGTTTCAATTTTTTTGAGACAACAGTTTTGGCTGGGTACGGTGGCTCATGCCTGTAATCCCAGTACTTTGGGAGGCCGAGGTGAGTGGGTCACAAGGTTAGAAGTTTGAGACCAGCCTGGCCAATATGGTGAAACCCTGTCTCTACTAAAAATACAAAAATTACCCGGGTATGGTGGCAGGTGCCTGTAGTCCCAGCTACTTAGGAGGCTGAGGCAGGAGAATTGCTTGAACCCAGGAGGTGGAAGTAGCAGTCAGCCGAGATCACGCCACTGCACTCCAGCCTAGGTGACAGAGCGAGACTCCATCTCAAAAAACAAAGAGTCTCGCTGTTTAAGCGAGTAAGCCAATCTTGGCTTACTGCAACGTTTGCCTCCCAGGTTCAAGTGATTCTTGTGTCTTAGCCACCTGAGCAGCTAGGATTACAGGCATGCATCACCATGTCTGGCTAATTTTTTTTTTTTTTGTAGAGATGGGGTTTCACCATGTTGGCCAGGCTGGTCTTGAACTCCTAGCTTCAAGTGATCCATCCACCTTGGCCTCCCAAAGTGCTGGGATTACAGGTGTGAGCCACTGCACCCGGCTGGATTTCAATATTTGTTAGCCGTATAAGGAAACTGTCTTTCACCTCCTCCAACAGGGAAAGGGAGACAGAGCAATCTGAGGAATGCTGATACCAGAGAAAGTCCTCCAGGGAACAGAGGCAGATGGAGGGCTGCTTGGTCACAACATAGTCTCGACCATTCTGACACACGGATGACTTGCGTAGCCTCAGAAACTGTTCTTTATAGCCCAAAATGCAGCCATCTTCATAATCTTCAGGGTCTGTGGAGTGTGCCAGCCATATGGTATAGTCCTTCTCTTCACCTAAAGGAGAGACAGACTGTTCAGGAAAGTGCGCAGCACAGAACTCACCCACGGGAGGCAGCTGCCAGGCTATAGGAAGAACAAGGAGAGGGAAAGTGGGAATGTCTGACTCAACCTACTGCTTCATTTTGGAATTGCAAACAAAAAGTTACATTAGTCTAGAGCCTACTAGCAATTGCATTTCCTTGTGCCAAAAGAGTATTCTTTCCATCTCAACATCCATCTGAGGACTAGGAAAAACCCTATTTGTTTTGAAGTGGAAAAATGGATAAAAAACCTCTGAAGTTCCTTCCAAACTAAGAGGCTGCTGTCTGTGTGTCTCGCATACCTACGTCCTCAGTCAGCAGGAGCTGTCATAGGTAAGCAACCAGATATTCTCCACTCAGGGCCAGAGAGCTCTTTGTTTAGGACAAGATACTAATTAGCCAAGAGCACAGGTTCAATTTCACCATGTGTTCATCGGCTTAAAGCAGAAGGGAAAACATCCTCTTCCTAGACTTCTAGCTCTAGTTGACCGGTTCTCAAATGCAGATTGTTGATAAACATGGTTTCTGGCTTAGTATGTCGTATCATCTACTGGAAAAACGACTCAAAGCCTGTGACCTAAAGACAGTGGATTAGGTTTTTATCCTTCCGGATATGAAGACCAGCAAAGGGCCCTATAAAGAGCAGGTGCTTAACAAATCTTTTAATGACATTAAACTTTAGGGGTAACTGGAGAACTGCCTGCTGAGGGGAGAACTCCTAAGCCAGCTTCTGTATAGCCTACTGAATGGATTTAGATGACAGCGACCCTCAGGTATTAAATCTATTTGAACGTCTTATGGAAAAGTAAGGTTCAAACCAAGGGTGTGCTCCCTCAAGAGTTACTGAATCAGCATGCTGAGGAAATGAGCCCATGACAACAGTCTTGAAGGACCAAACTGAACTGAAGTTGAATTTGGAACTTAACATCTGTAAACGTTAAGTCTTTTATTGTATTATGCGAACTCGAAACTATAGGTCATCCTTTCTCCAGTGTTTTTCTTTATCCTACTTATTTCTTAGTAAAATGCCAGCACCTTTGTTTGGCACTGAGGTCAGGGTTTGCTTGTGACACTTTGGGGACACTGTGCAATGAACACTCTGAATCCTTTTCTGAAGCTATTTTCTGGGCCTTTAACATTGCTTAATGTTGAAATGATAATATTTTGGATATATTAAGCTTATTTTACTACTATCACCTTCCTTTTCACTTTTATAACGTAGCTGACAGAATAATTTCAATGACATATGTGGCCCTCATATTTCTCCTGGACAGTGCTAGCACCAAGGAGGAGGCTTTTTTTCTGATGCTATTTCATTACTTAATCACCCACACAAAACATCTGTCAATCCTCTTTCATATGCATATGTATCTGCTGATTTCAGCCAAAATAAATTAAACCATATTGATTATTCAGGGAAATGGGCTTACAAGTTTCTGGTAGAAAAGGTCACAGGAGACACTCACAGTTCCTTTCAAGGATATCTTTAAAATCAATGGTGTAGGAGACCCACTGGCTGGTCAGGAAAGATTCTGTGAAGCCCCAGATGCTGATATTCATGGACCTAGCTCCAGGTTCTGAAGCTAGGCCAGTGAAATAGATGGGGTCCCTGGTGAATGTGTAGGTTTGCCAGCACTGACCTTCGTCTGTGGAGAACCTGAAACCACAATTAGACAAAGATCATGACAGAGGATCAACGTGTACTGGGAATTCAGGAAACCACTCTGGCTGTTTGATCCCAAACCAGACAAAACCCCTTATATTTAGGTGATAGCTTATTGGCTCACAACTATTTTAACCTTTTTTTTTTTTTGAGACGGAGTCTGCTCTGTCACTAGGCTGGAGTGTAGTGGCTGCAATCTCAGCTCACTGCAACCGCCACCTCCTGGGTTCGAGCGATTCTTGTGCCTCAGCCTCCTGAGTAGCTGTGATTACAGGGACATGCCACCACACCCAGCTGGATTTTTGTATTTTTAGTAGAGACGGGGTTTCACCATGTTGGCCAGGATAGTCTTGATCTCCTGACCTCGTGATCCACCTGCCAGGTGTGAGCCACTGCACCTGGCCAACTATTTTAACTTTTAGTGTCTGTGGTTAACAGGCTAGGGAAAAGAGATTAATTCAGAGTATGAAAGTAAATACCTTTACAGAAATTATTTCAAAGGAAAGAGAGGAGAGTGACCCAGGTAAGAACTGGGTTTTAAATTAATCAATGTGGTGCATGGCCTTGAAATAAATAATAATTATTCCAATTAATACTGAAATAATATTAGAGACAAGGTCTTGCTAATGTTGCCAAGGCTGGTCTTGAACTCCTGGGCTCAGGTGATCCTCCTGCTTTGGCCTCCCAAAGTGATGGAATTACAGGCACCGCACCCAACCCAGAAAGAATGTTTTTAAGAAGTGACAAATTTGTTAGCTAGAGGCAGTCAGAGGAAAAAGCAATGCCATTTAATCTTTGCTGCCAATTAAAAGCAATCCTTTCTAGAATGTTACCTACAGCTCTGTCGAATGCAAAAAATTGAATCAAGGTCTGTAACATCCCCCCAGTAAACTGAAGAACATTCCCCCAGTTGCCCTCTATGCAGACAGTGTGTGTGAGATGAGCTCATGCATACTTAATCACATTGATAGGACGGCTGCTGTGCTCAATGGCCACAATGATGCCTCCAGAATCCAGGATGGTGTAATAGTGGGGTCCTTCCAGCATCTTTGTCCAGGAGTAACCCCCGTCATCTGAGATGTACACATCTGGGACCATCACTGAGATGGCATCCCCCACGCTACCTGCAACATAATCCGCCATCTCATCAGCACAAATAGGCAATGAAACAGAGAGGATTTACTCATGAGAGAATAATTTTGAATTAATTTATTCTGATTATTTCCTATCAAGCCTCTATTAGTAGGAAAGAAGGCTCCCCAAAACTTGGGAGAAATTGTGTTGCTCTTTCTGATAAGAGTTGATGAAAAACCCAAAGTATTGTTATAATGTTAAGAAATTCTACCAAAGGAATGTAAAAACATCCACAGTGTTTCTTCTCAGAGGGTTCAGAGCCTGTGGCTAAGTTTCGGTGTGCCTCAGCCACTGTTCCAGCTGGAGTGGTGAGTGGGAGCTCCTTACCATGAGCAATGACAATGCCTACAGCATTCGGCTCTGAGAGTGGGGCCATTGGAACATTCAGTTTCTGGGAGATGCTGTATGAAGCATGAATATGAAGGCTGCACTGTGAAGAAACAAAAGCTTAGATTAAAACCAGAGACAATTTCTTGAATCATCTCACAGAGCCCTTCCAATAAAACTTTAAGTTAACTGAGACCTAGGTAAATGTACCATCTTAACTATTTATTTAATATTTAGGTATATAGTTCAGTAGTGTTAAGTATATTCACACTATTGTACAACAAAATCTCTAAAACTTTTTTTTTTTTTTTTTTGAGATGGAGTTTCGCTCTTGTTACCCAGGCTGGAGTGCAATGGCGCGATCTTGGCTCACCGCAACCTCCGCTTCCTGAGTAGCTGGGATTGATTACAGGCACGTGCCACCATGCCCAGCTAATTTTTTGTATTTTTAGTAGAGACGGGGTTTCACCATGTTGACCAGGATGGTCTCGATCTCTTGACCGCGTGATCCACCCGTCTCGGCCTCCCAAAGGGCTGGGATTACAAGCGTGAGCCACCGCGCCCAGCCAAACTTTTTTATCTTACAAAATTCAATCACCAATTAAGCAACAGTTCCCCACTTGTTCCTCCTGCCAGCTCCTGGAAACTACCATTTTACTTTGTTTCTATGAATTTGGCTACTCTAGGTACCCTTATAAGTAGAATAATACAATATTTATCATTTTGTGTCTGGCTTACTGCACTTGGCATAATGTGCTCAAGGCTCATCCATGTTGTATTAATAGCTATGTCAGAATTTCTTCCTTTTAAAGGATATTATTTATTTGTGTATGTGTTTATCTGTATCCACATACACCCCACATTTTATTTACTAATTTATCTGTCAATAGACACAAGCTGCTTCTACCTTTTGGCTATTGTGAATAATGTTGCTATGTACATGGGTGTATAAATGTCTTTTTGAGGCCCTACTTTCAATTCTTTTGGGTATATACCCAGAAGTGGAATTGCTGGGTATGATAATTCTATTTTTAGTTTTTTTAGGAACTACTATACTGCTTTCTGAAGCAGCTGCGCCATTTTACATTTTCACCAACAGTGCACCAGGGCTCCACTTTCCCATATCCTTGCCAACACTTTTTAAAATAGTAGCCACCCTAATCTGTGTGAGGAGACTCACTGTGGTTTTGACTTGCATTTTACTAATGATTAGTGATGCTGAGACTCTCTTTACATGCTTGTTAGTCACTTCTATATCTTTTTTGGAGAAATGTCTATTCAAGTTTTTGCCTATTTTTTTATTCAGGCTATTTATTTGTTGTTGAGTTGTAGCTCAGTGGCATACTCTTGATTCTGAAATGTACTAGAATATTTGGAAGCAAATATACAATTATTTCCCCACATGTAACCTGTCTCAGTTTATTTTTGCATTACATCAAAGCCTCTGACAAATGTTTAAAGCATGACTCTACACAAATAAACCTGATAACCACTTGATATACCTCAGACACTGTACAAGATGTGGTGGTGGTTTGAAATAAGATCTAGTCTTGTCTTTAAGAAACTGGTGTTTTAGGCTCCAGGCACACTCTCACAGACCCAGGCTCTAGGCCTGCCCCCAAGGTACCAGGCCCCAGGGCCCAGCCAACTGGACCCCTGCATCAGGCCGGCCCCTGCAGGCTCTGGTTAGGGCCCACCCCTGCACCAGGTTGGCTCCTGTGTATCTACTGGTGTTCCACCTAAAGATTCACTTACAAGGTCCACCCTAGTAGATCCTACTGCCAGGACTACCTCAGTGGACCCAGCCTCCAAGCTACCTCCAAAGACCAAGGCACCAGGCCCACCTACCTGCAGAACCTGTCAGCTGCCCCCCAAGAATCTCTGAATGAGCTACCTGGTAAGGGCTTCCCTTGCTGAAGCCATCTGTAAAGGACTATGTGTGTAAGCGAGCACACAAGCTGAAAGTAGAGATCAAAAAAAGATATTCCACACAAACAGTAGCCAAAAGAGAGCAGTGGCTATATTTATATCAGACAAAATAGACTTTAAGTCAAAAACTATCATAAGAGATAAAGTTACTACACAATGATAAAGGTGTCAATTCATTAAGAGCATATAACAATGGTAAATATAAATGCACTCAACATTAGAGCACCTACATGTATAAATCAAACATGAACAGAACTGAAGGAAGAGGTAGACAACAATGCAATCATAGTAAGGACTTCAATACTATACTTTCAACAATGGATAGATCATCCAGACAGAAAACAAATAAGGAAAGAGCAAACTTGAATAACACCATACAAATGGACCTAATGGACATATACAGAACATTCTATCCAACAGCAGCAGAAGATACATTCTTGTCAAGTGCACACAGAATATTCTCCAGGATAGTTCATATGTTAGGCCACGATAAATAGAAGACTGAAATCACCTCAAGTATTTTTTCAACTACAACATTATGAAACTAGAAATCAAAAACAGGAGGGAAATTCCACACGAATACTGAAATCAAACAACATATTCTTGAACAACCAATGGGTCAAAAAAGAGGGAAATCAAAAAATATCTTGAGACAAATGAAAAGGGAAACACAGCCAGGCGCGGTCGCTCATACCTATAGTCCCAGCACTTTGGGAGGCCGAGGTGGGTGGATCACGAGAACAAGAGATCGAGACCATCCTGGTCAACAAGGTGAAACCCGTCTCTACTAAAAATAGAAAAATTAGCTGGGCATGGTGGCGCACGCCTGTAGTTCCAGCTACTCGGGAGGCTGAGGCAGGAGAATTGCTTGAACCCAGAAGGCGGAGATTGTGGTGAGCCGAGATCGTGCCATTGCACTCCAGTCTGGGTAACAACAGCAAAACTCCAACTCAAAAAAAAAAAAAAAAAGAAAAGAAAAGGGAAACACAACATACCAAAACTTAAGGGATGCAGCAAAAGCAGTTCTAAGAAGAAAGTTTACGGTGATGAATTAAGAAAAAAAAAAAATCTCAAAAATCCTAACTTTATACCCCAAGGAAATAGAAAAAGAAGAACAAACTAAGCCCAAAGTTAGCAGAAGGCAGGAAACAGTAACAGAACAGAAATAAGTGAAACAGAAGTTAGAAAAATAATAGATCAATGAAATTTAATTTGGTTTTTTTGACAAGACAAAAAAGTGACAAACTTTTAATTAGAATAAGAAAAAAGAGAAGACTCAACTAAAATTAGAAATATGAGACTAGACATTACAACTGATACTACAGAAAAACAAAGGATCATAAAAGTCTACTATGAACAATTATACATCAACGAATTGGATAATCTAAAAAAAAAATGAATGACTTTCTAGACACATACAGCCTACCAAGACTGTATCATGAAGAAATAGACGATCTGAACATACTATTAAGAGTAAGGAGGCTCAATCGGTAATAAAAAGTCTCCCAACAAGAAAAGCTTAGGACTTGATAAATTCAATGGTGAATTCTAGCAAACATTCTTCAAAGAATAATAATACCAATCCTTCTCAAACTCTTCGAAAAATTGAAGAGAACGGAAGACTTCCAAACTCATTTTATAAGGCTGGTATTACAGTGCTATCCAAACCAGACAAGGACAGTAGAAGAAAACAAAGTTACAGGTCAATATCTCAATCAGAAACAAGACAAAGATGCCCGCTGTCACCACTTCTGTTCATTATAGCAACAGAAGTCCTAGCCAGAGCAATTAGGCAAGAAAAAGAAATAAAAGACATTCAAACCAGAAAGGAAGAAGTAAAATTGTCTGTCTGCAGATGACATTAACTTATATATAAAAATCCTTAATCTTTAAAGACTCCACCAAAAATCTGTTAAAACTAAAAAACAAATTAAAAAAAGTTGCAGATTATAAAATCAACATATAAAAATACAATACACACTAAAAACTATCCAAAAAAGAAATCAAGAAAATTCCATCCAACAGCACAAGAAAAAAACTTAAAAAAAAAAAACAAAAAACTTAGGAGGTCGGGTGTGGTGGCTCATGCCTGTAATCCCAGCACTTTGGGAGGCTGAGGTGGGTGGATCACGAGGTCAAGAGATTGAGACCATTCTGGACAACATGGTGAAACCCCGTCTCTACTAAAAATATAAAAAAATTAGCTGGGCATGGTGGCGCGTGCTTGTAATCCCAGCTACTCAGGAGGCTGAGGCAGGAGAATTGCCTGAACCTAGGAGGCGGAGGTTGTGGTGAGCTGAGATTGAGCCATTGCACTCCAGCCTGGCTAACAAGAGTGAAACTCCGTCTCAAAAAAAAAAAATAATAATTTAGGAATAAACTTAACCAAGGAGGTGAAAGATTTGTATACTAAAAACTACAAAACATCGGTGAAAGAAACTGAAGATGACAAAAATAAAAAAATAAAAAAGGAAATATATCCTATGTTCCTGACTTGGAATAATTAATATTGTTAAAATGTCCATACTACCCAAAGTGATCCACAGATTCAATACAATGCCTACTATTTTGACTGTCTTTTTTACTATTATATGGTTATAAATAACCCTCTTTCTGAGACAACACAGAACAATCCACAAACATATTAATTAATTAATTAATCAGCTGTTTACTGAGTACCTACTATATCTCAGGCACTGTTTTAGGTACTTGCAGTATATCAAGAACAAAACAACCAGGTGTGGTGGTTCACATCTAATCCCAGTGGGAGGCTGAGGTGGGAGGATCATTTGAGGCCAGGAGTTCAAGACCAGCTTGGGCAACATGGCAAAAACCCATCTCTACCAAAAAGTATCAAAATTAGACAAGTGTGGTGGTACATGCCTGTAGTTCTAGCTACTCTAGAGGGTGAGGTGGGAGGACTGAGTGAGCCCAGGGAATTTGAGGCTGCAGTAAGTTATGATTATGCCACTGGACGACAGCCTGGGTGACAGAGTAAGACACTGCCTCTTAAAAAAAAATTCCAATAGTATTTTTCACAGAAATAGGAAAAACAATCCTAAATCTTATATGGAACCACAAAAGACCCTGAATAACCAAAGCAATCGCGAGCAAAAAGAACAAAGCTGGAGATATCATGCTACCTAATTTCAAAATATACTATAAAGCAATAGTAATCAAAACAGCATGGTACTGGCATTAAAAACACATATAGACCAATGGAACAGAATAGAGAGCACAGAAATAAATCTATGCATTTATTATCAATTTATCTTTGACAAAGGTGCCAAGAACACACAATGTGAAAAAGACAGGCTCTTAAATAAATGGTACTGGGAAAACTGAGTATCTATATGTAGAAGAATGAATTTCAACCCTTATTTCATGTCATATGCAAAAATTAGCTCAAAATGGATTAGAGACATAAATGTAAGACTTGAAACTAAAAAACTGCTAGAAGGAAACATAGGGAACAAAGCTTCTTGACATTAATCTGGGCAATGGCTTTTTGGATATGACCCTAAAAGCACAGGCATCAAAAAACAAAAACAGACAAATGAGATTGCATCAAACTAAAAAAGTTCTGCAAAGCAAAAGAAACCACCAAAAGAGAGGAGAGAGACAATATATGGAATGGGAGAACACATCTGCACACCAAACATTTTATAAGGGGTTAATATCCAAACAAATCAATAGCAAGAAAACAAATAATCCAACTAAAAAATGGGCAAAGGATATGCAGAGCCATTTCTCAAACAAAGACATACAAATATAGCCAACAGGTATATGAAAAAATGCCCAACGTCACTAATCATGAGGGAAATACAAATAACGATCACAATGAGATAGCAACTCACCCGAGTTAGAATGGCTATTAGCAGAGAGTTAAAAGATAAGTTGGCAAGGACATGGAAAAAAGGGCACCCTGTACACGGTTGGTGGTAATGTAACCCGATACAGCTACTATACTATGCATACTATGCAATACAGTAAGAAATTTCCCTAAAAAATGAAGGACAGCAGGGCAGGGTACAGTGGCTCATGCCTGTAATCCCAGCACTTTGGGAGGTGGAGGCAGGCAGATCATGAGGTCAGGAGTTTTGAGACCAGCCCGATCAACATGGTGAAACTCCATCTCTACTAAAGACACAAAAAACTAGCTGGGCGTGGTAATGCACACTTTTAATCCCAGCTACTCGAGAGGCTGAGGCAGGAGAATCACTTGAACCTGGGAGGTGGAGGTTTCATTGAGTTGAGATTGCTACACTGCACTCCAACCAGCCTGGGCAAAAGGGTGAGATCGAATCAGAAAGAAAAGAAAAGAAAAGAAAAGGGGAGAGAGAGAGAGAGAGAGAGAGAGAGAGAAGAGAGAAGAGAAAAGAAAAGAAGAAAGAAAGAGAAAGAAAAAAAGAAAGGAAGGAAGGAAGGAAGGAAGGAAAAAAGAAAGGAAGGAAGGAAGAAAGGAAGGAAGGAAAGAAAGAAAAAAGAAAGAAAGAAGAAAGAAAAGAAAAGAAAGAAACGGAACTAGCAATCCCATTTCTGGGTATATATTCAAGAGAAATGAAATTGGTATGTCCAAAAGATATCTGTGCTCCCATGTCCACTGCAGAATTATTCATAGTAGCCAAGATACAGAATCAACCTAAGTGTTCATTGATGGACAAATGGATAAAGAAAATGGAATATTAGCCTTAAAAAAGAAGGAAATCCTGCCAGGCATGGTGGCTCATGCCTGTAATCCCAGCACTATGGGAGGCTGAGGTGGGTGGATCACCTGAGGTCAGGAGTTCAAGACCAGCCTGACCAACATGGTGAAACCTTATCTCTACTAAAAATACAAAAATTAGCCGGGCGTGGTGGCACATGTCTGTAATCCCAACTACTCAGGATGCTGAGGCAGGAGAATTACTTGAACTGGGGAGGCAGAGGTTGCAGTGAGCCAAGATCTCTCCACTGTACTCCAGCCTCAGTGGCGGACTGAGACTCTGTCTCAGAAAAAAAAAAAGAAGGAAATCCTGTCATCTGTAAAATCACGGTGAACCTGAGAGGCATTATGTTATGTTAAGTAAAATGAGCCCAGCACAGAAAGACAAAGACTGCATGATCTCATTTAAAAGTGGAATGTAAAAACGTCAAACTCACAGAAGCAGGGAGAATTGTGGCTTCCAGGCGCTCGGGGTAGGGGGAGATGAAGGCCAAAGGGTACATAGTTTCAGTTATGCAGGATGAATAAGCTTTAGAGAGATACATTGTGACTATATACATTGTGACTACAGTCTAGAATACTGCACTGTTACTTGACATTTGCCATGAGATTAGATCTGAAATGTTCTCACCACACACACACCCCCAGGATAATTTCGAGGTGACACATATGTTAATTAGCTTGACTGTGGTAATCATTTCACAATATATACATATATCAAAACATCACAGTGTACACTGCAAATATATGTACAATTTTTATTCGTCAATTATGTCTCCATAAAGCTGGGGAAAAAAGAAAATATGTCAAAGACAAGTTGAGGTATGCAGCCAAATGAAAGTTAGTGCTCTAAAAGAGGCTCAAAATGGCTAAAATGTTAGATATATATTATGTATATTTTACCACAGGCAGAACTTCCCCCAGGAATAGTGTGGGTGTTCAGGGAAAAGCAGTGGGTTACAAGGGGTGTGTCAGGGATAAGGTGGGCAATGACAATGAAAAGGCAACAGAGGGCCCACCAGGAGAGAACCTTCACTCACCAGGTCAGGGACAGGGGCCATTCACAGGCCAAGGGAGCCACATCGAGTGCTGGGCAGGGAAAGGCATGGGGAGCCTGCAGGCGGCAAGGCAAACACAGAGCCACTGAAGCTGCCCAGGCTTAAAATGAGGAGGGTGGCAGCCAGGCAGGGCCAAGGCGGAGATGGGAAACAGGTCAGAGGGTTGCATAGAAGCAACAGTGCTTGAGAGTGTAAAGGAGGAGAGTGTGTTGGGGTGGTGTAGGGAGGCACATTTTGTCTCACCATCTGAGGCTCTTAAAACAAAACAGAAAACCCTGCCTAGAATAACAAAGTGCATGTCAGTGACAGGGATCCTGAGGAGAGCTCAGGAACTACTGGTGCTTCCATTTCTGAAGGAAACTCCAGCTGTCCCCGCAAGCTCCTCTCACATTCTGTGAGAGCCAGATAACAAGCTTTTTTCCTTTTTTCCTTGCCTGCCAAGGCCTACCACTCCTGGCTTTGGCTCTCCTGGAGTGATACATCTGTAGTTCCGGCTCCCAATCTCTCGGCAAGGAGGCCTCCAGTGGCCATGGGAGCCTAGGCAGAGGGAAAGGAAGGGTGGATCCTCTTCCTCTTGCTTCCAATGAGCAAGGCTGTGCGCTGTGTATGAAAGGTGGAGCTGTGGCTTCTTGCAGAATTTCTAAAGTCTCCCAACTGCCATACTAACCCCTAACTAATCACCAGCCCCTCTGGCCATTGTTTTCATTCAGTTTAGTGAACCACAAATTGTTAGCCCTCAGTTTTGCTCTTCTTTAAAAGATAGATAATCCATAGTATTTTGACCTTTCCTCAGTTCTTACTTTCCAAATTCTAAGTTAATTTCATTACTCTCATCTCCAAAATTTTCATCTTATGCAGGACCCTAAGCAAGTATGAAACTTCATCACCCAGAAGCCTGGTGCTGATTGGAGCACAAGGGAAAGGCTGCTGTGCTCTGCACACACTGGAGTAAACAAACCTCATTCTTGTTTTTTGCTGTGGCATCACATTCACTGTTTTCAGGCTTCCTCAGGTGCTTCCACCTTCCTCCTTGGTCAAAAGTAATCATGGTCTGGATAGAATTATCTGAATGGGAAGAGAACGGCATTAAGTCTGATACACTGGAAGCACCTAGTTAGATTTAGTTTATCATTGCATAACTCCTGAGACCGTATAGCACCTGGAGTCTGACAAGCTTTTAACACCTTACAAAACTGCTCAGTGTTGGTGAGGAATGGAGCAGTGCTTTAAATATGATATTTGAGGCTGGGTGCAGGGGATCATGTTTGTAATCCCAGCACTTGGGGAGGCCGAGGCAGGTGGATCACCTGAGGTCAGGAGTTTGAGACCAGCCTGGCCAACATGGTGAAACCCCGACTCTACCAAAAATACAAAAAATTAGCTGGGTGTGGTGGTGGACTGTAATCCCAGCTACCTTGGGAGGCCAGGACAGGGGAATCGCTTGAACCTGCGAGGTGGAGGTTGCAGGGAGCCAAGATTGCTCCACTGTACTCTGGCCTGGGCGAAAAGAGTGAAACTGTCTCCAAAAAAAAAAAAGATATTTGAAGAAGATGTCCCACCTGAACAGAACCCAATTAATTCCACAAATTATCTAGGACTGATACTCTTTGAAAAAGGTACCTTTTAACTCCTTATCAACATGAACAGGCTGATGTCTGTTCTCCTTCCTTGCTTGCTTGCCTGGGAAGCAAAATCTACCATAGGAAGGCATCCTAATCTTTATTTAGACAAGGCCATGACACTACGCTTGTTTTAGTGACTCCTGAGATTGAGTAAATCTGCACAGTTCTGGATTAATAACTGAATTTTTGTCTCTCTCCTACTCTATATCCTATCTTTCTTATACCTTTCTTTTTACCCCTTGTCTCTTCCCCATTCTTATTTTCAATGATATAAACTGTTGCAGGTTTTAAATTCAGAGATATCCTTTGAGTTTTCTTTTATTTGTATTTATTTATTTATTTTTGAGATGGAGTTTTGTTTTTGTTGCCCAGGCTGGAGTGCAATGACACAGTCTCGGCTCACTGTAATCTCTGCCTCCTGGGTTGAAGTGGTTCTCCTGCCTTAGCCTCCTGAGCAGCTAGGATTACAGGCGCCTGCCACCATGCCTGGCTAATGTTTTGTATTTTTAGTAGAGACGGGGTTTCACCATGTTGGTCAGGCTGGTCTTAAACTTCTGACCTCAGGTGATCCACACGCCTCAGTCTCCTAAAGTGCTAAGAGTACAGGTGTGCGCCACCGTGCCTGGCCTTGAGTTTTCTAAGAAAAAGCAAACAAGAAAGCAAATAAAGGAAAATTCATTTATTCAACAAACATTTACTGAGTGCCTACTATGTGAATTATGTGAAAACTTGTTTTTTTTTTGAGACAGAGTCTTGCTCTATCATCCGGGCTCAACTGCAGTGGCACCACCGTGGCTCACTGCAACCTCCGCCTCCCAAGTTCAAGAGATTTTCATGCCTCAGTCTCCTGAGTAGCTGCGTGCCACCAGGTCCGGCTAATTTGTATTTTTAGTAGAGACGAGGTTTCACTATGTTGGCCAGGCTGGTTTCAAACTCCTGACCCCAAGTGTTCTGCCCACTTCGACCACCCAAAGTGCTGGGATTACAAGCATGAGCCTCTGTGCCTGGTATGAAAACTTTCTGTAAGCCTTTGGGAATATATCAGTGAACAAAACAGACAAAAAAATATTGTGAAAAATACATTCCAGTAGGGTGAGACAAGCACTAGTCATAGTAAATAAGTAAATTATGTAGTATGCTAGAAAGTAAGTACTATGGAAAAACTTGCGCCGCTAAAGGTGGATTGAGAGTCTGTGCGTGAGAAAGGGAAGGTAAACTGGAATTTAAAATAGCATAGTCAGGGCAGGTCTCATTCAAAAAGTAACACATGAGCACAGACATATCAGCCTTGCTGCTATCTGGAGAAGCAGAGGGAACTGTGGTGCAAATCTCTAATCCACGCACGTGCATGCGTACCTGGTGTGTTAAGAACTGGCAGGCAGACAGTGTGATGAGAGTAGGGCAGATGGAAAGAGAAGAGCTGGAGATGAGTCAGGGAGGAAATCAGGAGCCGCATCTCCAGGACCTTGTAGGCCACTGCCAAAACTTTACAAAATAAAAACAGGCCCTACCTCCTACCGAAAAATAAATATGTAAATAAAATGACACTTTAAGAGTCTTTGTACTGGAGATTGATGTGTTTATTTGTATAATGGGGCCTAAGGAAAGGTGAGCTCTGTATAGCCATTGAGTAGAACACAAGAACCTTGGCTGGCTATTGCTATGCCCTTAACAAGAAGAGCAGGAAATGGGTCAAATTCAGGCTTATTCTCAAAGCCTACATCTCCCAATATAGAAGACTCATTTTATAACCTAAACAACATAGACTCAAAACATCTTTCTTTCTACTTGCTGTTGCTCTGCTCACGCCTAGCTCTATTTACCATAACTTACTTAAACTTGGGAGCCACAATTTGCATGGGTTTGGTCTGTCCCTGCGGGACTCTCCTTATCCCTTCTCCCGCCGCATCACCCAATGTCTCACCACAACCACCAGCCCAAACCCTCCTGTGACTTTGATACTCTGCTTGTGTCGTTCCTTCAGCTGAAAATGCCCTTCCCTCTTCATTCCTGCCTATCATACTTCAGACTCAGTCTTAAATGTTTTTAGGGTGCATTCATTGTATGGTTTTGAGTGCAAGGCTCTTCAGCCGTTTATTCACAGACTCATTCAGCAAATATTACTGAGCATCTGCTACGTGCCAAAATTGTCATAAGCACCAGAGAAGCATCAGCAAACGCAACTTTAAAAATCTCTTCTTTCTACAGGACTTGAATGGAAGCTTCTTCAAAGAAGATCTTCGCATGGCCAACAAGAACATAAAAAGTTGTTCAACAACATTAGTCACTACAGAAATGCAAACCAAAGCTATAAACCAGATACTACTTTACGCCCATTAAGATAGCTGTTATAAAAATAACAGAATACGGCTGGGTGCGGTAGCTCACACCTGTAATCCCAGCATTTTGGGAGGCCAAGGCGGGTGGATCATGCGGTCAAGAGATCGAGACCATCCTGGTCAGCAAGGTGAAACCCCATCTCTACTAAAAATACAAAAATTAGCTGGGCATAGTGGCGCGTGCCTGTAATCCCAGCTACTCGGGAGGCTGAGGCAGAAGAATTGCCTGAACCCAGGAGGCGGAAGTTGCGGTGAGCCGGGATCATGCCATTGTACTCCAGCCTGGGTAACAAGAGCGAAACTCTGTCTCAAAAGAAAAAAAAAAAAAAAAAAAAAAAGAATATAATGTGTTAGCAATGAAGTAGAGAAACTGGAATACTTTTGTATTGCATGTAAAATGGTACAATCATGTGGAAAACCCACTGGTATTTCCTCCAAAATTGAAACACAGAATTATCATGTGATCCTCCTATTTGACTCCTATATATATCCCGAAAGGAATTGAAAGCAACAACTTAAAAACAGTTACATGTATACCAATGTTCATGGCAGCATTCGTTATTGGTAAGAGTCAAAAATGGAAACAACCTAACTGTCCATCAATGGATGAATGAAAAATAGGCCAGGCATGGTGGCTCATGTCTGTAATCCCCGCACTTTGGCAGGCCGAGGCAGACAGATCACTTGAGGTCAAGAGTTCGAGACCAGCCTGGCCAGCATGGCGAAACCCCGTTTATACTAAAAATACAAAAATTAGCCAGGTGTGGTGGCACATGCCTGTAATCCCAGCTATTCGGGAGGCTGAGGCAGGAGAATTGCTTGAACTCAGGAGACGGAAGTTGCAGTGAGCCGAGACTGTGCCACTGCACTCCAGCCTGGGCAACAGAGCAAGACTCCATCTCCAAAAAAAGAAAAAAAATAAATAAAAGGCACTATATTCAAACAAAGGAATATATTCTATCCTTAAAAAGGAATAAGTGAAATTCTAAAACATGCTACAATATAGTTGAACTTTGAAACTATGCAAAGTGAAAGAAGCCAGACATACAATAACCAATAGTGTCTGATTCTGCTTGCATGAGCCACCTATTAAAGGCAAATTCATTAAGACGAAATAGAATGTTGCGTTACCAGAGCTGTGGACTGGGTGGGGATGAGGAGTGCTTGTGTACCTGGTGCAGTTTCTATTTGGGATAATGAAAAAGGTCTAGGAATAGGGGTGATGGTTGCACAACATTGTGACTGGGCTTAATGCTACTGAATTGTACCCTATACAATGTTTAAAACTGCAAATTTTGTTAGATATATTTTGCCACAATAAAAAAAAAGGAAACAGGCCAGGCACAATGGCTCATGCCTGTAGTCCCAGCACTTGGGAGGCCGAGGCGGGTGGATCACCTGAGGTCAGGAGTTCGAGACCAGCCTGACCAACATGGCAAAACACTGCCTCTACTAAAAATACAAAAGCCAGGCATGGTGGTGCATGCCTAGAATCCCAGCTACTCGGGAGAGGCTGAGGCAGGAGAATCGATTGAACCTGGGAGGTGGAGGTTGCAGTGAGCCAAGATTGCGCCACTGCACTCCAGCCTGGGCAATAAGAGCGAAACTGTGTCTCAAAAAAAAAAAAAAAAAAAAAAAAAAAATAAAAGTAAAAAATGTACTTGGCAAGTGACGGTTACGGGGGACAGGATCCCCTGAAGGCTCAAACCCTACCACATGCAGCTGAAGGTGCAGTGCAGCACTGTGATGCCCACACTCACCTTCGGAGAGCACGCTTGTTATGTAGATGCCTCGGAGGGAGGTCACATTGGTAAAGTCCGTTTCTCCGCCTGTCGTAGTGTAGAGATGTCGGTCCAAAGACTTGGAATAGACAATGCCTCGATCATCTGAGGTAAAGATTGTGCCAAACCCAGTGTCTGAAATAAGCAAACAAACAAAAATACTAAGTCTCGGGTGGAACCAAAGAGAAAAACAATAGTCTAACCACACGATTGTCTGCCGACTAAACGCAGTAGCCAATTGTGTCTCTTCATTATGAAGACTCAGACCTGAGAATTAATCAAGGTTTGATACTCAAGATCTTTATGCCCATCTTTAATTCTAGTACCCAGCTTAGTGCCTGGAATATGCCAGATGCTGAGTTTGTTGAATAAATTAATCAGATGCTACAGAAAGCTCTTCCCAGATATATTTTGGAGAGTTTCTGTGTTTAGTTTCCACATTTCTAAATCTTTACACTCTAGAACAATGCTTTTTAAACTATCTATGGTGAAGGATCAATTTGTAAGACTTCCAGCCAGTGCAGTGGCTCATGCCTGTAATCCCAGCACTTTGGGAGGCCAAGGCAGGAGGATCACGAGGTCAGTAGTTTGAGACCAGCCTGGCCAACATGGTGAAACCCTGTCTCTACTAAAGATACAAAAAATGATCTGGGCGTGGTGGCGCACGCCTGTAATCTCAGCTACTCAGGAGGCAGAGGCAGGAGAATCACTTGAACCCAGGAGGCAGAGGTTGCAGTGAGCCGAGATCGCACCAGATTTCCAATATGTCACAAACTGACGCTTTTGTAAACCTAATAAAATACTAATCATTAAAAATGAAAAGGCAGACAAAATACAGACCCCTAATTTTTTATCATTAGATCCAACAGACATAAAATTGCTTTGTTGAAGGGTCAGAAGAGTTTCTAAACTCTTGCTCTCAATCTCTGTACTTATCTGGTAACAGAGAGTCTGCACAGTCAGTACCAGTCTACTGACCATTCTTTGAGCAGCTCTGCTCTGGAACACCTGAACATACACACGAGCTACCTTAGAGCACCAAAACAAGCGGCATTTTTAACAGGGGCCACAGATGATTTCTAGGACAGAATAATCAGTATGACACTAATGAACTTCTAGGGGTAAGAGGAAAACTCAACATGTAAAAAGGAAAGCTGCTCAAAGCTTACATCTCTATGCTTTCAAAGGCGAGCCACCAAAAAGCTCTTACCTCCAGGTTCATCTACATGCATGAATACCATGTCATCATTCGCTGCCAGAATAGAATAGAACTGTTCCTGCCCCACAGAGGGGAGTTGGGCCATACTCCACGTGTCCCCTTGATCTGTTGAAACGTGGATCCTTCTTGTTGTATCCTAGAACAGATGCCAATATTTATCTTTCTAATTTTCTGCCAAGATGCCATGTACAGGGACATGAACAAGAATGTTTTTCTTTTTACAGAGACCAAGTCTCACTCTGTAGCCCAGGCTAGAGTGCAGCAGTGGCACAATCTCAGTTCACTGTGAACTCTATCTCCTGGGTCCCAGTTCCAGCAATTCTCCTGCCTCAGCCTCCCAAGTAGCTGGAATTATATGCATGAGCCACCATGCCTAGCTAACTTTTATATTTTTAGTAGAGATGGGGTTTCACCATGCTGACCAGGCTGGTCTCGAACTCCTGACCTTGTGATCTGCCCACCCTGGCCTTCCAAGTGCTGGAACTACAGGCATGAGCCACTGCGCAGGCCCAAGAATGTTTTAAATAATTACTATTATCAATTTCTCCACTGGGTACAATGGCTATAAATGAAAGGTCATAGTACCAATTACCAAAGCAATTTCTAGCCGCTAGCAAAGTTGCAGGTAATGGAACAATCCATTCTATTCTAAGTAAGGCTATCTTGGCTTTCTCTCTGAATTCTTCATTCTGATGCAGCCCTGTAAGATATTGTATGTCTGATCTCTGATAGTCCATCTCCTTCAGCAGAGCTAAGGATTTGATGGGAACATTACTAGGCTGGCTTGACAGCCATTTGCATACACTCACTCCGATAATTCTTAAAATGATGACTGATGCGTAAAAGTTTGGTCCCTTTCAGACGATCCCTGCATAATTTAAATACTTATATAATTAAGAGTCTAGAAAATAGCGATGAAACTCATGTTTGGGAGATCACAAGAAAAGTCAGGATGTAACATACCTCCTCTCTAAGGAATTCTCTCAGAATGGCCAGGAGGAAGGGAATAGGCATGGGCTGGAAAGAGGCCGGCTAACTCAACAGTCCTGATTTCCTTCTCCCTCCCAGTCTTCTTTGCTGGATTCTTCTCTTTCCAACCTTTCAGTTGTGGGTGCTTCAGGGATTGCTCAGTCCTCCTACCTCTTTGCTACTTACTTACCCCTCCAGAAGGTATCATCTAGTCACATGGCTTCAAATACCATAGCAATTAGGGAGATTCATATACCCAAATGCTCACTTAACATCTCCATTCAGATATCTAATACATGTCTCATATCTAGAACTGAATTTTTTTTTTTTTTTTTGAGACAGAGTCTCACTCAGAGTGCAGTGGCATGATTGTCGCCACTGCAACCTCCAACTCCAGAGTTCAAGTGATTCTCATGTCGCAGGCTCCCAAGTAGCTGGGATTATAGGCACGTGCCACCACGCCCGGCTAATTTTTTGTGTTTTTTAGTAGAGACGGGGTTTCGCCATGTTGGCAAGGCTGGTCTCAAACTCCTAACATCAAGTGATCTGCCTGCCTTGGCCTTCCAAAGAGCTGGGATTACAGGCCCAAAACTGAATTCTTGATTTGTCTCCACAGCATGCTCCTTCTGCGGTCTTTGCCATCCCAGGAAATGGCACCACCATTCAGGGACTTAGGATGACGACTCTGAAGGTACCGTTGAATCTGCTCATTCTCTCACAACCCACATCAAATCCATCAGCAAGTCCTATTAGCAATATGCTTATAAATATATCCACAGTCTCGCCCACTGCCAAGGGCCTGGCCCAGCTACCACCTCCCTGGCTTGGACTCCCGAGAGCGCCCCTGTCAGGCTGTTCTGCACACACCTATTCTTCAAAGAGAAGCCAAATCCCAGCATACCCCTGCTCACAACCCTCCCACAGCTCCCAAAACAGGAAGAGTAAGGCCCATATTCTAATTGTGACCTAGAAAGGCCATGTAAGGTCTGGCCGGGCCCACTGTGGTCCCACTTTGGACTACTCTTCTCTATGCTCCCCTCATACTGCCCTTCTCCCCTTTGCTTAGATTGATGAAGCATGCTCCAGGCTGAGGGTCTCCGCACTGGCTGTGCCTCGTCCTCCTCTCCTCCCAGATGGCCACATGGTCATGCTTTCAGTTCACTTAGTCCCAGAGAGTCCATCCTAAACACCCTAAAAGAGCACTGACTCCCGACACTTTCTTAGTCTGCTTTAGATTTCTTCACGGTTGTTGTATTTTTAGTAGAGATGGGGTTTCACTCCATTTTAATTACCGGATACACACACACACACACACACACACACACACACACACAATTTATATTTATTTATGAGACAGGGTCTTGCGCTGTCACCCAGGCGTGATCACAGCTCACTATAGCCTCAACCTCCCAGGCTCAGGCGATCCCCCCACCTCAGCCTCCCAAGTAGCTGAGACTACAGATGCACGCTACCATGTCTCCCATGCCCAGCTTATTTTTCTATTTTTTGTAGAGATGGGGTTTTTTCATGTTGTCCAGGCTGGTCTTGAACTCCTGGGTTCAAGAGATCCACCCGCCTCAGCCTCTCAAAGTGCTGAGATTCAGGCGTGAGCCACTGCCCCAGCTTTCGTATTTATTTTTTGAGTATTTATTTTCCCCCTTAAATATAAGTTCTGAGAACAAGAAATTTACCTGTTTTGTTCCCTGCTACATTCATGGGACATAGAATGGTATCTGGCATATAGTAGGCACTCAGTTAATGTTATCTAACTGTATTTTTATTCTTGGATAATGAGCAAGAGTTTACTTTCTACAGATGTCCATGTCTGAGTAATGCTGAAACACTGAATCAAAACATCCTGGCTGGATGTAGTGGCTCACGCCTATAATTCCAGCACTTTGGGAAGCCGAGGTGAGCAGATCACCTGAGGTCAGGAGTTCAAGACCAGCCCAGCCAACATGGTGAAACCTCATCTCTACTATAAAAATACAAAAATTAGCCGGGTATGGTAGCACACACCTGTGGTAGTAGCCACCTGGGAAGGTGAGGCAGATGAATACCTTGAATCTGGGAGGTGGAGGCTGCATCACTGCACTCCAGCCTGGGCAACAGAGCAAGACCCTGTCTCAAAAAAAACAAAACAAAACAAAACCAAACACCCAAAAAAGATAACAGAATTCACATGGTGGCAGGAGGCCAAAGTGCAGAGTAGCCTATCAGAGTTAATCATCCTCTGCGAAAAGAATCAGCCCCAACACTTACAGTGGTATTAAATATAGAAAATAGACAAGAAACTCTGTCAGTGCCAAGTAATAAAGATAATCTATATGAGAGATATTTGCAGAAATATCAGACCCCAAAGAGAAGAGAGAAATACCTACCTTATCAGCCATCACAGAGGCAAAAAGGAAACGTCCCCCAAGACCAAATGAGTAGATTTTCACGCCAATAGTTTTGAAGCTTTTCCCCAAGTCTGAAGTTCTCCATAATTCCAGAGCCCCAAGGTCAGCTTCTTAAACAAGACAAAATATTAATTAAAATTTCACCTACTGGTTAGTCTAGTTCAAAGCAATTGTTTTAGAATTAGTCTTAATTTTATAGCTAAGCATTTAAAATACTATGCATGTTAATCAAGTGACAACATAAAATGTGGTACAGTATCTGATAGAGGAAATTCCTATTTGGGATTGACTGACTGATTGGTTGGTTGATTGATTGAGACAGAGTTTCATTTTTGTTGCCCAGGCTGGAGTGCAACAGCGTGATCTCAGCTCACTGCAACCTTCGCCTCCCAGGTTCAAGCAATTCTCCTGCCTCAGCCTCTTGAGTAGCTGAGATTACAGGCATGCACCATCATGCCCGGCTAATTCTGTATTTTTAGTAGAGACAGGATTTCTCCATGTTGCTCAGGCTCGGCCTCCCAAAGTGCTGGGTTTACAGGCATGAGCTATCGCGCCTGGCTTGGGTTTTATTTTATAAGTTTGAGATTTTATGCTCGATGGAAAGGTAAGAGATTACTTAATTCCAATATAGTGTTTCATAAAAACATCAAAGTGACAGCATGCTGCTTTACTTGCTTCATGGCACAGTTTGGAATTGTCTTATCCTATTTTAAATTGTCTTGAGTGTTCTTTTCTTTTCTGTTAAGAGCTGGGGGTCTTGCAGCTTTTCTGCAAGCTTTTCTGTTAAGAGCTGGGGGTCAACCATCATGCTTAGCTTAAGCTTTGGTTTTCTTGTTTATCATCTAACACCCCTACTTGAATTTACATTCCATGAGGGCAGGTCTTGGGTATTTTGTTCTCTCCATCCTTAGAATAGTGTTTAGCATATGAGCAGGTGCTCAAATACCTGTTGAATGAGTAAATGAAAGATTTTGCTTTCTGCTTTGAAATTGTATCACAGGGCTGGGCGTGGCGGTTCACACCTGTAATTCTAGCACTTTGGGAGGCAGAGGTGGGTGGATCATGGGTCAGGTGTTCGAGACCAGCCTGACTAACATAGTGAAACCCTGTTTCTACTAAAAATACAAAAATTAGCCGAGTGTGCTGGCAGGCACCTGTAAACCCAGTTACTCGGGAGGCTGAGGCAGGAGAATCACTTGAACCTGGGAGGTGGAGGTTGCGGTGAGCCAAGATCCTGCCACTGTACTCCACCCTGGGCAACAGTGCGAGACTCCATCACAAAAACAAAATTGTGTCGTAGTTTGGGAAGCCACCGCTTCTGCCAACACAAACACAACCCATGCTTTTCTGAAGAAATCACTATGCATTTCAATTTGCTATTGTCTGTAGCATGATATCTGCTTTATATAAACAGACTGCTAAGACTGAATACTGCCTCCATGTACAGCCTATATTCTTACTTGATCTGGGTAGTGTAGTAATTTGGTTTTACTTTCAAGATTTTAATAATCACTAACAGCTATCTTTAGCTATTACAATAGGTATATCAGGAGAATGGAAGGATCTTTTATGTTTCTGCCTCACGCAATGCAGAAAATTCTACCACAAATGGACAACAGAACACTATTTTCTTGGACCAAAATATACTTACTGCAGGAGCCATTCGCATAGGTGGTAAAGAAGATGGTGCTGTCTGATCCCCTACAATGAGGCAAAAATGGGGAGAAGAAATGGTTTAAGACTGCTGAAGAACTGTGTCAACCTTACTCACAAACCTCCTAGCAGGTCTAACAAGCTTCATTCACAGGTACCAACAAGCACCACTTCTCAGGTGCCGAGCCCTGGTACTTCACAGCTCTGACCGTCAAGCTCCCCACTGCCCAGCCCACGTGCTCCCCACAGACTACCACTTCTTTACGTGAACTCTTTCAGCCAGTCATGCTGGTCTACTCACCCTCTCCACATCGGCCTCTGGCATTTTTGATGGTCACAACCGGGGAGTAGGTGGGTGGGGGAGTTGTCACTGGCGTCTAGTGGGTAGAGGCCAGGGATGCTGCTACACATTTTATGATGCACAGGACAGCCCTCCACAATAAAGAATTCTTTGACCCAAAATGTCATTGGTGCTGAGGTTGAGAAACTCTGTTTTAGAGCACTGTACCGTCTGCACAGCCACTTGGCGTGCATTTGCCTCCTGTTTTTAAATTTTAATTGCATAGTATATGCCTTGCCTTTCCTACTATATAAATTAGCTTCTTTAGGGCAGGTACTATGCTTTACTGTTACCCTTCAGAATCTAGTTCAATGCTTTGTATGAGCTAAGTAATTTAGTTCTTCCATCTCAAATAGACAACTAGGTCAGAGGTTGAATTATTTAAAATGTAACCTGGAAAGGGAGTTTGCAGGGAACTAGATTTAGACCCTCCTAGGACTTATTAGATTACAACCAAGAAAAGGTGTTGGTTTTGAGTATGTTCTTTCAGCACTTCCTAGAAATTAAAGATCTAAAAGCATGAGTAAACAGTTAGCAGCAGCCTGGTTATCCATATTTAGATACTAAACAAAGAAACACGTTACAAAAGTAAAATCCTTGCATAGGATACAAAACAAAATACTATTTTAAAAATCACTTTTTAGGCTGGGTGCGGTGGCTCAAGCCTTAATCCCAGAACTTTGGGATGCCAAGGCAGGTGGATCACGAGGTCAAGATATCGAGATCATCCTGGTCAACATGGTGAAACCCTGTCTCTACTAAAAATACAAAAATTAGCTGGGCATGGTGGTGCACGCCTGTAGTCCCAGCTACTCGGGAGGCTAAGGCAGGAGAATTGCTTGAACCCAGAAGGCGGAGGTTGCGGTGAGCCAAGATGGTGCCATTGCACTCGAGCCTGGGTAACAACAGCGAAACTCCGTCTCAAAAAAAAACACTTTTTAATTTTAAAGATAAGTTTTTGTTTGTTGAAGAGATGGAGGCTTGCTCTGTCACCCAGGTTGGAGTGCAGTGGAGCAATCACAGCTCACTGCAGCCTCAAACTCCCCAGCTCAAGCAATCCTCCCACCTAGTTCTCTTGAGTAGCGAGGACTACAGGTGTGCATTACCATGCTTGCTTTTCTTTTTATTAATTTTTTGTAGAGATGGGGTCTCACTATGTTGCCCAGACTGGTTTTAAATTCCTGGTCTCAAGTAATTCTTCCATCTCAGCCTCCCAAAGTGTTTGGATTATGGGTATGAGCCACTGCACCTGGCTAAAGATGAGTTTTCATGATAAAAAATTAACAAAAATTAGCCAGGTGTATGCCTGTAGTACCAACTATTGGAGAGACTGAAGTGTGAAGATCACTTGAGTCCAGAGGCAGAGGCTGCAGTGATCAAAGATTGTGCCACTACACCTTAGCTTGGGTGACAGAGCCAGACCTTATCTAAAAAAAAAAAAAAATCACTTAAGTCTTACTTACACATGACCTACATGTTTTAGGTCCATTAGGAGTGAAACAATTTAACTTAGTTATCTTAAAAATTACTTTCATCTAGCATGGTGGCTTACACCTGTAATCCCAGCACTTTCAGAGGCAGAGGTGGGTAGATCACGAGGTCAGGAGTTCAAGACCAACTTGGCCAACATGGTGAAATCCCATCTCTAGTAAAAATATAAAAATTAGTTGGGTGTGGTGGCTTGTGCTTGAAATCCCAGCTACTCAGGAGGCCAAGGCAGGAGAATCACTTGAACCTGGGAGGCAGAGATTGCAGTGAGTCAAGACCATGCCATCACACTACAGCTTGGGTGGCAGAGGAAGAGTCTGTCTCAAAAAAAAAAAAAAATCCTTCCTTCCTGATAAAACTGTACAAGGTACAAACACAATTCATTAAAATACATAAAATGAAAGCAAATGTGGCATGTGTACCAGAGTGGTGCTATAAAAACCTCATTAAGAAAACATTTCTGGGGCTAGGCATGGTGGTCCACACCTATAATCTCGGTACTTTGGGAGGCTGAGGAGGAAGGATTGCTTGAGCCCAGGAGTCTGAGACCAGCCTGGGCAACACAGTGACACCCCTCATCTCTAAAAAATAAAAATACAAAAAATTAGCTAGACATGGTGGCATGTGCCTGTAGTTCCAGCTACTCTGGAGGCTGAGGCAGGAGGAGGACTGCTTAAGTTCAGGAGGTCAAGGCTGCAGTGAGCCATGACTGTGCCACTGTACTCTAGCCTGGACAAAAGAGCAACACCCTATCTCAAAAACAAGAAACATTTCTAGAAAAGGCCCAGTTTGTTTAAGCAACATATTTAATATTTTAATCAATCTTGGTAGACATATTCTAAACTTTCCTGATTCCCAGAGTACAGGAAACTCTTGGGATTGTGGGTCATCATCATGAACATCAATTTTATCAAACTATAACACAGTGTTCCCATTAGAAGTTACCAACATAAGTGCACTTTCTTGATCTAGCACGAATAATTTCATACTGTTATATTCTCTAAGTGTTTGTCTCCTCTTTCATAGTAATTCCATCTCCTTCCAGCTCTCAGGCTGTAATTCTAATGCTGCTACGTGCTTATTGCAGCAGCTACATATCCCACCTCTGGAACCAATCTGCTGTAAACTGGGATTCACAAATAAGCTGAAATTAGTAAAAGGGGAAGGAGAAAGAGGCTCTAAACAACATTCTGAGCCTAATCAGATTTTGGAGGCATGAAGTCTCTTAATTCTTGCTTAGCCATCCCCATATTCTCCAAATAAATCTCCCTTCACAAAAGGAAAAAACTAAAGCCCAGAAAGGTTGAGCCCCTGAGTAGCAGCAGAGTGAGGATAGAACAAAGGTAACGAGACTCCCAAGTAAGAGCTCCCTCCACTCTGTCCTCTTTAAGCAGGCACCCAGAGAGGCAGGGCATCTCTGAGAGAAGTGAATGAGTTTTAGTGCGCAGTGTGACTTAGGAGTCTGGAAGCTCTTTTAGCTTTCTTCCTGATTCCTTGTTATGTTCTACATGACTGAAATGGAACTCTAGATAAGAGAGTGTAAATCTGGGCACAGAGAAGTATGTAAATCCCTAAATTAAAGCTATATTTTCCTTATTCCAGTTGATGTCACCAATCATAGAGAATGAACCCCGGGCAGGCAGCAGCAACTCAGTCACATGCCTTGTTTTATACTTTATGTTCTAATGTTTAAGTGAGACCAAGTCTTCTTTTCCAGCAGAATGAGAAGCTCCTCCAGGTCAAGGCCTGTGTCATACCCCTCTCTGATATCCATTATGGCACCCTAAAGAGTACCTGGCACATAGTTAAGTGCTCAATATTCATTCATGTGATTTTTGGCAGACTATCAGGAAGGGTTTAGGGTTCCGCACAGATGGAGTCTTCTGTTACTCACCATTTGGCCAAACATACTGCTTTGTGGATTTCTTCCCATTTTCCCCCAAAATTCTTGGACACCCACAGGCCATTCTGAAAGATCATAAATGACTTATCAAAATTCTAGCTTTATCCTGTGCAGTTGCTTGTATGACCTTTAATACTTCATATCCAATCATTCAGGACAGTAAAAACAAACATGGAAGCTCCATCAGAGCTGCCCAAGCTCCACAGATGCACACATGGCTTATCTGGACCCTTTTGTCGTCTTGAAAGTTCAGAATAACAAATGTATATGAAGTGCCTACTATGTGTGAGGCACTGTACAGATGTTGCACTGGGGATACAAAGAAGAATAAGACACTCCCTGCTCTCAAGGGGCTCACAGTTTAACAAGGGGCATAGATAAGAAGAAAGTTCAACACTATGCAGAGTTATAAAATGTGGTCTGGTGTAGAAGTGCTGCATCTTCTGGTGGAGGGACGCTGCATCAGAGATAGTTTGCTGAAGAAGACAGCTGCACTGAGTTTTAAATGATGAGCAGTGGTACCAAAAGAAGGCGATTCTCCTGCCTAAGCCTCCCAAGTGGCTGGGTTTGCAGGTGCCTGTCACCATGCCTGGCTAATTTTGTATTTTTAGTAGAGATGGGGTTTCTCCATGTTGGTCAGGCTTGTCTAAAACTCCCAACCTCAGATGATCTGCCCACATCAGCCTCCCAAGGTGCTGGGATTAGGGGAGTGAGCCACTAAGCCTGGCCACCAGCTTTATTTCTAACCAAACTCTATTTATGTGACAACACAGCTAATTTACTCTTGGATCCCATTCTACCTTTTTATCTTGAGTTACCATCAGTGCTAATGTTCCTCTCTTGGGTGTAGTTCTCCAGGAGAATTTGTCCTATATTTCTTTGTGTGTGTTTTTTTCTTTCCACCTTAAACAAATTAAAACTACTTAATAGCTAAGCCTGTATATAGACATTAAAATTAAAAGCAATGAGAAAGAAAAAAAAGAAGAAAAACTGGGAGATGAGGTTTTGCTGCACAAATAGACTTAGTATTAGCAAAGGCGAGGAGGTCACAAACCCTGCAGTGTGTGCAGGGAGCTAAAAGCCATCAGACATTACTGGAGTGCAAATTCCAAGGTGAGCAAATGAGAAACTAATGCTAGGGAGAAAGGTGAGGCCAGCTCACAGAGAGCCTTCCTTCTGTGCCATGCTAAGGGCTCCAGGGTTTATTGCGCATGAGGTGCTCTCAGGAGGAATGTGTACTAAGCAGGAGGATGACACAGTCCGTTTCACTTTTTTAGGTGGACTACTTGGATGAGAATGGGAAAGATGGATTTCAGAGGGTCCAGACTAGAGGCAGGAAAAGCAGTGAATGACTGCTGCATTAGTTCAGTAAGAGCTAATGAGGTCGTCAACACTGGCCACGAGGAACAGGCTCTGTAAGAATTCAGAAGCTAGCATAGCGTAAGTGGACGACTTTTCCTGCAGGGCAGGATAAAAGGTAGGGGGGTGTGTGTACGCATGTGTGTGTAAGTTGGTCACTCTGCTTTTCTGGTTGGGGTATAGGATGCATTGTGTTATCATTAACTCGTATAAGGATTAAGGGAAGAAGATCATGCCTGAGAAGAGTAGGGAGGAAGCTCAGTTTTAAATTGATTTAAGATGCTTGTGGGACATCCAACCAGAGATATACAGGGGGCAGCAAGACAGAAATATGATGCATTGGGGGAAAGCTAGGGCTAGAGATAAGGATTTGAAAATCTCAAAAATTGTAGCCAGTGGTAGTTAAATGGTAAGAGTGGAAGAGGCTGCTCAGGGAAATGAACAGTAGGCATTTAAGGGTAGGTTGAAAGGAGGTTAAGGAACCACTGAGAAGGAATAGCTAGAATGGTAGAAGAACTAAAAGGAATGAAGGTCACAGAAGTCAAACAATTAGCATTCTCAAAAGGAGGGATTAGCCAATAGTTTGAAATGTAGCGGAAACCTGACAAAATGATGACTGACAACATGACACCGGCAATGTGAGCTTACTGAGCTCGGCCTCAGTGGAGATTGGATAGAGATGTCTTAGTCTAGCTGAAATTAAATGTAATTTATTTAGGCTGGGTGCGGTGGCTCACGCCTATAATCCCAGCACTTTGGGAGGCCGAGGTGGGTGGATCACGAGGTCAAGAGATCGAGACCATCCTGGTCAACAAGGTGAAACCCCGTCTCTACTAAAAATACAAAAATTAGCTGGGCATGGTGGCGCGCGCCTGTAGTCCCAGCTACTTTGGAGGCTGAGATGGGAGAATTGCTTGAACCCAGGAGGTGGAGGTTGCAGTGAGCCGAGATTGTGCCATTGCACTCCAGTATGGGTAACAACAGGGAAACTCTGTCTAAAAAAAAAAATTAAAAAAATAATAAAAATAAATAAATAAATAAATGCAACTTATTTAGGCACAATTTACCTTCAGTGCTCCCGTACTCTCACCCACCATTCCTCTTTAACTTTTTCTCACCTGGTAGTATTCGCATCCCAGTATTTCTAATTTACCTAATTCTACTTACAAAGACAAGACAGAATCTGATAACACTGATTCGCACTTTAGTACAAATTGGTCCCTCTTCTCCACCCCAATTACATGTACTTCAGACGTACCCTTAAATCAAAGGGATTTCAGGTACAGAAGTGGACTGTACCTGTCTCTTCCTGAGGACAGTGCTGTTTTAATAAACCTGAGACATTTGATAAAGGAGATGTGCTGGTCAAAGGGCAGATCTGTGGGTCTGTTCATTCCTGCGGAGGGCTTCTTACTCCCTTGTAGTGCTTTCAGCTTAAGCTGCTGGAGGCCAATATCTAGGAACTGTTGTTCTAACATCTGAAGCTTACTCCCCAGCAAGCTAGTTTCCTTTCTCCGGCCTCCACTGCTAAGCAAAACTCTGGCCCTTCTGGAGCCCTCCCCCAATCTCTGCACAGAAAGCCCCGAACCCAGACCTCTCTTCCAGTGCCCTTCATCCTCCCTATGTCACCTTCGCTCAGCCTGACTAGTTCACAGTTGATGATCTTGTTTCTGATCCCGAAGCAGTCAGCACAGCAATGACTCTCAAACTTTGGTGCTCAGGCTCAGCTGGGGAGCCTGCTAAAAATATTAGCCACCCCACAACAGAAGTCACTGATTTATTATATCTGGATTTGGGCAAAGGGATGTGCCTCTTGAACTCGTTCCTCAGGTGTTTCTATCTGATGAGAAAAGGCCATAAAAATGTAAAGTATAATTCTGATTACAGTCTAGCAACTCAGACACTTTGGGCCCTTAACCACAGTAAAAGAGACTGGTCCTCCGGGAAAGGAGAAGCTGAATGTGTTCATCAGAGAACTTTCAGAAGAGAAGTGGGAGGGTTAGGGAGACACATTGGTTTCTGCGGAAAATATAGGAACGTGGTGGGAACGCAGGGATTTAAGACTCTGGACATTTAATACATGAGTGTCAAAGACTGAAATCTATATGTTTTATAAACTGAGAACCTAACAAAAAAGAAAAAAATTTAGAAAGATGTTTGATCACAGGAAAGGAACAATGATAACATCAGAAGTTTGACAATTTATGCTTGTCCCTTGTGGCACGAGAATGATTGTGTTTTCTAGTTCATTACTCCAATACCATATAGTTGCTTAAAAAAGTTACAATGACAACTAGGCATCATACTTACCTGCAACAGATAGCACATGGAAATCATGTCCTTTACCAAATAGAAAAACACTGTTAAAAAAATACATACTTCATGCCATAAGGAGACTCTAGAAAGAAGTCCAATATAAAAGCATTTCCTGCAGAGTCCTTATAAGACAGTATATTTGAGACTATAAAATGCAAAAGGCAAGCCATGTTTCTCATCTGGACTTACTTCAGTGCTGAGAGCTAAAAGATAGTCAGAATTCTGAGGGCTATACATCATCTGAGTGAGAGGATGAAAAGGGAGATCTGTTTGCACAAAATTCTTCGCAAAATCTGATGATCTGAAGATTCTTCCTCCACGACTTCCTCCAGATACTTCTGCTGTTAATACCACCTGACAGGAAGAGGAAAGATCTGATTCAGGGTGTGATACTCTCTATGTAAGCACAATCTATGCAAGCACAAAAGTTCTTATACCATTTTCACCAGACATTGGTTAAGAAATTTTAGCTCTAAAAGAATGAAGCGTTATAAAAACCGATTAGTTGCTTCCATTCTACTCCTTAGGTCTTATTCTTATCAAAATATAACATCCTGAACTGAGTGGGGCATCGTATCTGCGAATTTAAGCCTAGGCTTAAGAAAGATTAATTTTCCAAAAGATTAAAATGTTGTCATAGGGAATATACATTGTAATGTTAAGCAAGTGCTGCATAATTATTAAGAGTTTTGGTGCACCTTGGGCAGGGAACAAAAAAAGAAATCCGCGTGCTCAAGTTCTCTTCTAATATGATCAGTATTAAATTGTGTTTAAGGCAGGCACAGTGGCTCATGCCTATAATCCCAGCACTTTAGAGGGTTGAGATGGGTGGACTGCTTGAGCCCAGGAGTTCAAGACCAGCCTGGGCAACATGGCAAAACCCCGTCTCTACAAAAAATACAAAAATTACCCAGGAGAGGTGGCAAGTGCCTGTAGTCCCAGCTACTCAAGTGACTGAGGTGGGAGGATCCCTTGAGCCTAGAAGGTCAAGCTGAAGTGAGCTGTGACAGTACCTACCACTGTACTTCACCCTGGGGGACAGAGTGAGACCCTGTCTTAAAAAAATTGTGTTTAATTTTAAAACATAAATATAGCAATACTAAACTAAATTACATTAGTGTTTTTCACTGAACCATGCCAATACTAATATCTGACAGCCCTGCATGTGGTATCAAGCACAAGCTTTATGTATCCAAGAATGAGTCTCACCTTTCCAGAGTTCTCAGGACCAATAGCCATGCCAAATTCAGTCCGAATAAAGGTGTTATTGATGAGATTTGTAATATCCTTAAAGTTCTTGCCATAATCCTCACTGAGAGGAAGAAAAAAAAGGGCAAATTTAGGGTGCAGTGGTCATGGACATTACTGAGTTCCTACCCAGCTTTCATTCCCCTTTCCACCCATCATGCTGAGAGACTCAGCTCACCCTGAACAGTCACATTCTTAGCTCCAGAGCTACCCTGATGAATCTGAAGAACATTCCACCCCCCTCACCAGCAATGGGGGTTCAGGAATCAGGATGGGCCAATGAGACAAAAGGGGGGCCAATGAGACAAAAGGGGGTTAATTTGGGGTCCGCCTCCCACTTATGATAGCCACCTGATGAAATGGTCTATATTCCTTCAGACCAGCAGTTCTCAATCAGGGTGTTTTTGTCCCCCAAAAAACATTTGGGAATGTCTGAAGACCTTTTTCTGAGACGATCACACTGTCACCCAGGCTGGAGTGCAGTAGTGGAATCTCAGCTCAGTGGTGCAATTCCCAGGCTCAAGCGATTCTCTAGCCTCGGCCTCCTGAGAAGCTGGAATTACAGGTGTATGCCACCACGCCTGGCTAATTTTTGTATCTGAAGTAGAGACGGGGTTTCACCATGTTGCCCAGGCTGGTCTTGAACTCCTGAGCTCAAAGCAATCCTCCTGCTTCAGCCTCCCAAAGTGCTGGGATTACAGGCATGAGCCACCACGCCTAATCCTGGAGACATTTTTGATTATCACAACGCAGGGCTGAGGTGCTACTGGCATTAAGTGGTAGTGACCAGTGATGTTACCAAACATCCTACAATGCACAGGACATTCCCACAATAACAAAGAATCACCTGGCCCCAAATGCCAAGAGTACTAAGGTTGAGAAACCCCAATGATGTAGTATGTGAACATGAAGTAAAAAAGATGAACTATCATCATTCTGTCACAGTGAGAGCACAGAGAAGGTAATTCCAGAATTCCTGAGAAGTAGAGCCCATGACACTGAATAAACTGACCCTGATGCCTGTCATTCCTCTGTACATAGTTACAGAATCAACTATTCCCTTATTATTCAAGTTAGTTAAAGTGGGATCTATACAAGTGTAGCCAAAGGTTTCCTAACTAATCTATTAATCCACAGTATTTATGATAAAACTGTGAGTAGGTCTTGAAGCTGTAACATCTTAAAGTTCTTCCCCCTAGAAGCTACCATCCCTAGGCACAAGTCTCTAAGGCATTCAGTACACAAAATACAGCCAGGAAAAACAAACAAACTTAATCTCAACTCTCAGGTTTTCAAAGCTTTTTCCAAAAGTTCATTCTAACATTATCTTTGAGAAGTATCTGAATCAATGTTAGATTCTGGGAAATAAGAGCAAACATTCCACAGCTGTCTAACCCTGACAGGTTTAATACTGTGTACAGCTCTCTTACACAACACACAATGCTAAATCGTAATGTTCATTAAAGTATCCATCAGTGGAGACAACTGTGCACTGCACATTTTTGCCCACAGATAAATGTAATCTTCAGTGGTGTTCAATGATAGAATACAGTCATGTGTTACATGAAGATGTTTTGGTCACCAACAGACTGTTTATATGATGGTGAGTCCAGAAGATTACAGTACTATATTGTCACCATGCCTTTTCTATGTTTAGATATACAAATACTTACCACTGTGTTACAGTTGCCTACAGTATTCAGTATAGTAACATGCTGTACAGGTTTGTAGCCTAGGAACAAGTTATACCATGTATCTGCAGTGTGCAGTAGGCTATACCGTTTAGGTGTAAGTAAGTACCCTCTGATGCTTGCACAATAATGAAATCACCTAATTATGCACTTCTCAATGTATCCCCAACAATAAGTGAAGCTTCAATGTACACGACATAAATGGATGCTGCGGGTTTTGGTAGCGGCCTCAACAAATAAAGAATCGCAGAACCCTGAGCGATGTAAGGGACTGAAGTGAACATCTTGTTCAACTCCCTCATTTCACAGATGAGGAGTTGCAAGGGAGGGCGATTTATCAAAAGTCAAATAGTTAATTAAGGGCAAAACTGAAACTACAGACCAATTCTCTGAACTCTTAGCCCTAGACTAGAGACAACTCTTAATTATCCGTGAGGATTTTTTTTCCCTTACAAACTGAGGTTTTCCTCTATCTTGCTGGGGGCTTATGACCTGGCAGAAGAGATAAGCTAAAAGAAAGTTGAAGACAGCAGGGAAGTATGCACGCAAGTATGCAGGGGTCCCTGATAATATGTTAAAGCAAAGTACGTATGTCTAAGTTGTCTGAAGGACTCTATCTTTCTTAATTACATATATACACACAGAAAATTCCTAGATAAATGAAACAGGCATTGGACACCACCCAACAGAATCCTATATTATGACCCTTCCTTTGGCTTTGGAGTAGAAGATCAGCTCTTATCTTCCTGACAGCTGGCCAAGAGATGTGCATAAACAATTCCCAGCTCTAGAGTGCATATATCATCAACAGCCCTGTAAACCTTCCAAAGAGGTTGAAGCAGCCTGATTATCACTAGTTTACAAATCTGTCCTCCTCCATGACATCCCCCAGGGAATCTCCACAAACCTGTTAGCAAGCCTGGTTGCTCTTTAAGAACTTGGCACAACAAACATATCCCTGCCCTTCAGAAAAAGAAATCAGCATGAACAAAACAAAAAATCACCTGCTACAGCACTCTGGTACTTTAGTCAGTTAAACAAACAGAGAAAATGGACTAGTATCAACCCACTGGGACTTAAGTAGGGTTCCAGCAAGGCCACCTTGGGCCCAGGTGTATATTTTTAACATAATACTTTATTTAAATATAGGTTTATTTTCTATCAGCATACAACATACATCATGAAGAGGAAATCTATGAAGCAACTTTGATTAATAAATCTACTTTTCAAATTCCGTATGATAATTAATATGAACAGCTGTCAAATGGTAAGTAAATGATTAAAACCCTGTGAAACCATCTGCTTTAGAAACAAGTCTTTTTGACCAGGGGCAGTGGCTCATGCCTGTGATCCCAGCACTTTGGGAGGCTGAGGCAGGTGGATCATGAGGTCAGGAGCTCAAGACCAGCCTGGCCAAGATGGTGAAATCCCATCTCTACTAAAAATACGAAAGTTAGCCAAGCATGGTGGCATGTGCCCGTAATCCCAGCTATTCAGGAGGCTGAGGCAGAGAACTGCTTGAACTCGGGAGGTGGAGGTTGCAGTGAGCCAAGATTGTATCACTGCACTCCAGCCTGGGTGACAACAGAGTGAGACTCTGTCTCAAAAAAAAAAAAAAAAAAAAAAAGGAAAAAAGAAAACAAGTCTTTTTAATAACAATTCTATGCATCAACACTAATATCCACTCTTTCTGGTTACCAAAAACAAATGACCACTTTCACATGTATCCGTGGTGTAAACATGAACATGTTTATAACTCAAGAAAATAATGCTAAAATACAAATATATTTGGAACAGAGCTTAGCTTGGGCTGCTATAAGAGAATATCATAAACTGGGTGGCTTATAAACAGCAAACATTCATTTCTCACAGTTCTGGAGGTTGAGAAGTCCAAGATGAAGGTACCAGCAGATGTGCTGTCTAGTGAGGGTCAGCTTCCTGCTTCATAGATTGCCCTCTTGTCACTGTAACCGTACATGACAGAAGGGGCATGGGAGCTCTCAGGTGCTCTCTCTTATACGGAGACTAATCCCACGGGTGAAGGTTCTTGCCCTTATGACTTAATCACTTCCCAAAGGTCCCACCTCCTAATACCATAGCATTGGGGGTTAAAATTTCAACGAGTTCAGAGGGAACACAAACATTCAGTATACAGCATCCTGACACCCCCGCCCTGCCCCTCCACACCACTACTCCAAACTCATGTACTTTTCACTTGTAAAATATATTCATTACATACCAACACCTCAAGTCTTTTTTTTTTTTTTGAGACAGAGTTTTGCTCTTGTTGCCCAGGCTGGAGTGCAGTGGCATGATCTCAGCTCACTGCAACCTCCGCCTCCCAGGTTCAAGTGATTCTCCTGCCTCCCAAGTAGCTGGGATTACAGGCATGTGCCACCACACCCAGCTAATTTTTTGTATTTTTAGCAGAGACAGGGTTTCACCATGTTGGCCAGGCTGGTCTCGAACTCCTGATCTCAGGTGATCCACCCTCCTCAGCCTCCCAAAGTGCTGGGATTACAAGCATGAGCCACTGTGCCTGGCCTAAAAGTCTTAACTTGTTCCAGCATCAACTGCAAAGTCTAAAATCCAAAGTGTCATCTCAATGTCATCTACATCAGATAAAGGTGAGACTCAAGAAGGTATGATTCATCCTGAAGCAAACTGCTCTTTAGTTGTGTACCTGTAAAACCAAACAAGTTATACACTTCTAAAATACAATGGTGGGACAGGCACAGTATAGACATTTCCATTCCAAAAAAGGGAAAGGGGGAAAATGAAAGGGGACTTTAGGTCTAAAATACAGGCAAACTTCATGAGATATATTTATCTCAATACTTTTTAAAGAGTAGTCTTAAGGCCGGGCATAGTGGCTCACTCCTGTAATCCTAGCACTTTGGGAGGCCAAGGTGAGAGGATTGTTTGAGGCCAGGAGTTTGAGACTAGCCTGGGCAACATGGTTGCCCATTGACAAAATATACAAAAATTAGCCAGGACGGTGATTTCCAGCCTGTAGTCCCAGCCACTCAGGAGGCTGAGCCCAGGAAGTCGAGGCTACAGTGAGCAAAGATCATAAGCCACTGCATTCCAGCCTGGGCAACAGTGAGAGACCCTGTCTCAAAAATAAGTAAATAAAGAGTGGGTCTTGCTCTGCCACCCAGGCTGGGGTGCAATGATGTGATCATAGCTCACTGTAGCCTAGAACTCCCAGGCTCAAGCAATTCTTCTGCCTTAGCCTCTCAAGTAGCTGGGACTACAGTCATATGTCACCACATTCAATTTCTTTTTTCTTTGGTAGAAATTGAAACCACTTGTTGCCCAGGCTGGTCTCAAACTCCTGGCCTCAAGCAATACTCCCATCTCAGCCTCCCAAAGTGCTGGGATTGCAAGTGTGAGCCACTGAGCCTGGCCTAGATATTAAAGCTTGAAAATAATTCTCTTTGGCTCTCTGTGCTCTGTCTTACAGGTCCAATGTTGTGGGGGGGGATCCCTCCTCTTTCCAGACACGCTGGCAGTGTGGTCTTGCTCTGCAGCCTTGACGGAAAGGGGGCAGGCCCCCAAGGATCTGGGTGGCCCTGCACCCATGGCTTTGGGTGATGGTCCCTTCTTTTGAAATTGAGGAGGCAGCCTTGGTGATCCCTGAATTGCCTCGTCTTAAAGAACGGCGCACATTCGCAACTGAATAGCTCTGTGGTCCTTGAAATCTGAAAGCCTTCCCTCATTGCGTTTAAACTGGCAGTTTTCCTGCTGGGGTGGCTGATTAAGTTCTCAGTTCACATTCATGCTAATCTCTTTAACAAATGGTCACTCGGCCACTTCCTAATTATTCTCAGTTTGTGCAATATAGACTGAGAATTTTCCAAATCTTTAAGTACTGCTTCCTTCTTGCTTAACAATTCTGTCTTTAAGTCATTTCTCTCTTCCCACATTTTACTACCAGCAGTCAGGAGGAACTGAGCTGCAGCCCCAATACTCTACTTAGATACTGTTTCAGCTAAATATCCAATGCCATTGCTTGCCAGTTCTACTTCCCACAAAACACTAGAACATAAACACAATTCAGCCAGTTCTCTGCCATTTTATAACAAAGATTGTCTTTTCTCTGTCGTCCAGTAACATGTTCCTCATTTCTGCCAGAAATCCCATCGTAATGGCCTTTATGCTACACATTTTTACTCACATTCTACCACTGATTACTTAGGTATTCTCTAAGATGGAAGTTTTCTCCACAGCCCTTCTTTTCTTTCTGGGCCTTCATCAGAATCATCTTTAACTTTCATTAACAGCTACGTAGGCTTTTTTAAGCATGCACCTCAAAATTCTTTCTGCTTCTACTCATTTTTTTTTTGTGCACTTTGCCAAGATTAAGCCACTATAAATTATAAATAAAAGAAACAAGGATGATGGCAAACTCTTGAAAATATTGTTTTGTAGTTTTTACTAACTGAGAAAGTTTACACCATCTTCATTATTCATCACGGATTCTATATTTGTACATCTGTCTACCTTCTTAAATTTATTTGTAACCCCCAAATCAATACTCATGGTGCCTTGCCAGTCATTTACAGACATTTACAGAGCAGCAAAACTTTGACTCACCCACTGTACATTCCCAGCTGAGGTCAAACAAGGTGATGCTTTGCCTTTGTGTTCAGGTCTAATACTATAAACCAGTGTCCTTTTCACAGTCTATTTAATGCTGTGTTTTTGCATGTTTATGTTTTTTTGGGTAGTTTTTCTGTTGAAATGGCCTCCAAGTGCAGTGTCAACATGCTGTTTAGTGTTCCTAAACACAAGAAGACTTTGATGTGCCTCATGGAGGAAATACGAGTATGTGAGACAAGCTTTGTGTGGGCAAGACTTGTACTGCTGTTGGCCCTGAGTTCAGTGTTAAAGAATCAATAATACGCATTAAATAAGGTATCTTTAAACAGAAACACTCATAAAACAAAGTTATGTATCGATCATCTGATGAAATGAGTGCTGTGACAAGAGGTTTGCAGAAACCTAACCCTGTATTTCCCCGTAGGAGCAATGGTTCACTATTAACTCATTCAGTATTCATGGCAACTTTAAAGAACATAACTACCACTAATGACAACCCACTGTACTGAGATTTCCAGGTCAAAGATCAATAGGGAGAATGTAGTTTATTAAAACATATCAAAACAATTATGGACTTGAAACTATGGCTGGGTAAAACTGGCAAGATTTCACTTCATAATAAACTTAATTCCCAATATTTCAGTCTCTTTTTTTCCTCACTGTCTGATGTTACCTTGTGTTTTTATTTAAATATTTTGTGCTTTATCATTATTGGGGCAGGATACATGTTTTCTATAGAAATTTTGAAACTATAAGCAGGAAAATGAAGAGAGTAAGACAGTGCAAATAAAACCATAGAACTTTTCATCAGAAGGAACACGAATATGCATTTGGGGTCTTTGTCTTACTCTGACAGCTTTACGTGTATAAAAGTGAAGCTGTATTAAAGGTAAAATGCAATCATATTTTAATACACTTTTTCTTTTAAAAAAGGAAGGAAAATATATGTTGTAAATGGAATTTATGCTAACTTTGGAACTGAAATGTGCAGTCATTAATAATCTACCGTAGCAAAAACTGAACTAAGCATATCATTAAAAAGGTTGTTACACAAGATGCCTTTATGAAGCTGGTTTACTGCACTAGCGGCACTGTGCATTGTATACCTTTAAGTTATTCTTAAAAAAAAAAAATCTCGTGAAACCCCGTCTCTATTAAAAATACAAAAAATTAGCTGGGCATAGTGGTGCGTGCCTGTAATCCCAGCTACTGAGGAGGCTGAGGCAGGAGAATTGCCTGAATCCAGGAGGTGGAGGTTGCAGTGAGCCGAGATTGCGCCATTGCACTCCAGCCTGGGTAACAAGAGCGAAACTCTTGTCTCAAAAAGAAAAAAAAAAAAAAATCTCAAGTAACATCCTGAAAAACTTACATTGACTATGTAATATATTTTAATGTAAAACCTCTTATAGACTTCCTCATTAATTTCCAAAATTTGAGCAACTCTCAATAGGAAATAAAAACCAGAAATAAAATAGCCCAGCAGCCTTTGTGGTATTAATAATTACGTACACAATACCGGTATAGAATAATGCTTACATTTGCTTCACTAAGTAAATCGTAGAAGGAAATGTTGGATTCAAGACATCACAAAATGAAAAGATGGAAAATATCTTTTAGTTCCCAAAAATCAAATTATCATCTTAACTGTCGCTAGTTTATTTCTTTAGCTTCATATGCACACGGGAGAGACAAAGACACTGTATAATCCATTATGGAAACAAATATTCCTTATAAGAAAATCAAAATTTATACTATATAAACATGATTCCTTTAAATGGAAAAAATATATATGTGTGTGTGTATACATACACACACAGAGAAACATGTATAAACATGTATACACACACACACACACACACACACACACACACACAATCTCCCAAATCCTTCAATAATTCTTTTTCACAGCCTAAGGACAGAAGTATACTCCTTCTAACTCCGTATATCAACAGAGACAACTTCCTTCTATTCTTGTGAGACTTCATACTGTAATACACAGAGCAGGTGGCATGCGATTTGCTGTTTTCTATTTGAAATCCAAATGAATCTTTAACCATATAAGATTTAGTATGCAAAGACAGTCGAATGAATAATATAATCATCAATGCTGTGAAAAACAGACAAGTCTTCAGAGTGGGTTCAATGGGCTTTTATTTGTAATTGGGCAACTTCAGCATATTTAGAATCCATTTTGACCAAACTGCTTCTTCCCTTTCTCGTTTCTGAAACAACATTTGCCTCTTGGTTGACATGTTCAACATAAGTCACTTTAGGCCAGCCCAGCTGGAAAGGCAACAAGGCACATCTGCAGTTTCCGCCTAAACTCTGGAAGTGGGGACAGAGTCAGTTTCCACTTCATGACAGGGAAGAGATAATTAATATTGAAAGTCAATGTGGTTAAAAAAAAAAAGAAATGAAACACTGCTGGGCAACATGGAGAAAAAAGTACCTTGGTAACATTATAGTGAATCAGAAATAAACAGAATTGCACTCTAGTAAAGTATATGTCAGGAGAGCAGGGTTTCTCACAAGACTAGACAAAAATAGGCTGAAAAAAGGTTTGAGTCTGATGGTGGTGGTATTTAAACATTGACATGGCAGTATTGGCTCTTGTTTTTGTTTTTAATGTCTTAAGTTGTTGAGGCATTAGGTATAGAAGATAATTCAATCTGGAGAAAGAGGCATTTAACAAATAGCCTTTAAAACATGTTGACATCCATTAGAGAGAGGTTTTCCTTTACTAGTAAAAAATAAGCATCCCTTAAGGCACAAATGTGTATATTTATCACAGTAGCATTAGTTACTGAGGAAAAAAATAGCTACAACCTAACTATCCAATGGAACGATGATTAAGTAAATTATGTCAACCTGAAAAAATGAGGAGTTACTAGCAGAGTGAAGGTATGAATACTGACCGATCAGCATAGATGGAGGTCATAATGCCAAGTGTTAGCAACATTTGCAATGCTGGCAGGAGTTGGGGGCGCAGCGTGTATTTGTAGATGTGGAGGCATCTGGGGGCAGACAATCACTTTATAGCAACTGGTGTGGAAGGCTTCAAATTCATTTTAACAACTGGTACAGCAATGCCAGTAGCTAACAGCATCAAGTTTTTCCTCCATGCCAGGCAATGCAGAGCATACCTCACAACAGCTCTGAGGTAGGCATTATTATTGTCCTTTTACAGATGACAAAAGACTTAGGAGGTTGAATGACTTTCCCAAGTTCATTCTGTTTGCAATGACAGTGCTGCAATTCAATCCTAAGCCTACTTGGCAACGAAGCTTGGCAACATTTTGCTATTCCACACTGCTTCCCAATACTCTACAGCTGTATCATACAGCATTAAAGGAGAAGGTCAGGATAATAAACTGCAAATAAATGAAGATTATACTTGGCTGTATGGTGAACTTATTTCTTTCCTTTAAAATTTTCAAATGTCCTATATGATTATACTGCTTTTATAATGCAACACAGGTTGGTAGGAAAACGAACATGAGAAGAGATTTTATTTTTTTGAGAAAGGATATCGCTCTGTCACCCAGACTGGAGTGCAGTGATGTGATCACAGCTACTGCAGCCTCAACCTCCCAGACCCAAGAGATGCTCCTACCTCAACTTCCCATGTAGTTGGGACCACAGATGTGTGAAACCTTGCCCAGCTACTTTTGTGAGGAGAGATTTTATAATAGCAAAGATTCTTAAACACTGGCAAGAGTTACCGAAGTAAAGTTACACATTTTAAATGCATTTTTCTCTTCCCCAATAGGATGCTTTTCATCTATCTAAAATGGTTCAACTACTGTTCTGATTGAATAAACAAAGTCGCCTATTTTCTTTTCCCCCTGAGATGGAGTCTTGCTCTGTTGCCCAGGCTGGAGTGTACTGGTGCAATCTCTGCCTCCCAGGTTCAAGCAATCCTCCTGCCTCAGTCTCTTGAGCAGCTGGGATTACAGGCATGTGCCACCATGCCTGGCTATTTTATTTTATTTATTTTATTTTTAGTAGAGACAGGGTTTCACCATGTTGGCCAGGCTGGCCTTGAACTCCTGACCTTGTGATGCGCCCACCTCAGCCTCCCAAAGTACTAGGATTACAGGTGTGAGCCACCACGCCCACCCCTAACTCTTTCTAGCACCAAGATTCCACAATATAGTCAATCCTATATCAAATTTTTTTTAATTATCCATCTGAAAATTATAGAGTAGCCAAGGCATTCATTCATTTATTCAATTATTGTTTACTGTCTACCTACTACATGTCAGGCATTTGGCTAGATTCTGGAGAACCCAAAGTTAGCCAAGAACTTTGACTTCATGGACCTTACACTGTAGTGCTAAGATGGCAATTCCTTCTTGGCCTAAAGGTATCTGCTGCCTCTCCAGGGCCAACATCAATGTATTGAAGGGCAGAGAGCTTTGGCTCCATGCCCAGGAGACACAAAGTTCATACCTCTTGGGGAAGAGAGGTTAGGCTAATCCATTTCAGAGTTTGAACGGGGGTTCACTCCCGCTTGAGCCAAGAACAACAGTCAAATAAAGAACCTTGAGAAAGTACCATGACTCCCGGGAGATAGCCTGACCCTGGGGTAGTTTCTATGTCATCTACTGGGATGTCATTATTTCTTTAGGTCCCTAGGGGGAAATGAGATAGACATAAACGATTGAAAAGACACAATCACTCGGCAATCTCTAGGAGTTAGCTGTCTTTAATCTTACTGTTAAGGAAAGGAACCTACTTCTTAACCAAGTCATACCTTTGAGAAGACAACTCCAAAGCTTTATCAATGTCACAGTACATGTTATGATTCCAGTACACCATGTTACCACCATCAGCACCAGTGTGAACATTACAAAGCATTTTGGTAGGTCTGACCTCAGAGCCTCCTTCTTACGTAAAAATAATCTGCTTAGGCCTCAAAATGCTATATAAATAATATTTGCTGGGAAAGTACAATGAAGATTTTTATTTCAGAAATATAAAAAACCATTTTGTGCTCATAATAAATAGAAAGACTTTTTAAACTCCATACTACCTTCCCACAAATAAATATCTGTTTAAATGAACATAAACACACCACTATAGACTCTTTCTTCATTTTCCTTTATTGTTTTTTTTTTTTTGAGCCTCCCTCCCCACCCCCTTCCATCTTCCTTTATTGTTCTGCCCATCAGTCAGGTCGAACTCATCTCCTTGGAACCAGGTCCCTTTTCACATTTCTTTCAGTTGCTAATTAGATGTTAAGGCCAGGCATAGTGGCTCACTCCTGTAAACCTAGCACTTTGGGAGGCTGAGGTGGGCAGACCACTTGAGCCCAGTAGCTCAGTTCTAACCTGGGCAACATGGTGAAACCTTGTCTATCCAAAATACAAAAATTAGCCAGGCATGGAGGTGCATGCCTGTAATCCCAGCCACTGGGGAGGCTGAGGTGGGAGGATGGCTTGAGCCTGGGAGGGAGAGGCTGCAATGATCTGTGTTTGCACCACTGCTCTCCAGCCTGAGTGACAGAACCAGACCCTGTCTCAAAAAAAAAAAAGTGCATGTTAACAAGTATTCTCAGAGCCAGTGTTGTGGCTCCTGCCTGTAATCCCAGCACTTTTGGAGGCTGAGGCAGGTGGATCACTCAAGCCCAGGAGCTTGGTACAAGCCTGCGCAACATAGGGAAACACCATCTCTACAAAAAATTAGCTGGGTGTGGTAGCATGTGCCTGTAGTTCCAGCTACTTGGGAGGCTGAGGTGGGAGGATGGCTTAAGCCTGGGAGGCCAAGGTTGAAGTGAGCCACTGTACTCCAGCCTGGGTGACAGAGTGAGACCTTGTCTCATAAAAAAATAAAAAAAATTGTGCTGAGTGGACAGTCTGCTGAAAACTTATGATGGCTAGATCTTTTAAATCAACTGTTACACGCCATCATGTCTAGAAAAGTGAGAATCTACATTCTTAGGTGTTACTTAGTCAGATGCCCCAATGTGTGTTATTGATCTCACCTTCGATACAGCTTGGACTGTCCAAAAGTCATAATTACCAGTGGTACATGGAAGGTAGTCAAGACTAGAATGACCTGGAGAGAGAAAAAAACATTCTGTAAACAAAAAAGATATTCCAATTAAGTGCTGATATGTGTTCAAAATTAAGCCAACACCTAAAAGACCTTTGATATCCCTACTTTGTAGTATTCCCCGAAACCCAGAAGGATCTAGATACTAGGGCTGAGAATGAAGAAAAAGTCCTCAGCTCATTTTGTTGGTATGCTCCCCATCGCCTACAGTGAAGCAATGAGGCTGACTACTCAGTGAGGCTGACTACTGAAATACACATTCAGATAAAAGAACGCTTTAACTATTTTGCATCCATATTGTTGTAAGATATTCTCAGGCAAGAACCCTCTCCCTTTTCTCCTTACAGAGGCTAGAATGGCATGGATTTCTCATAGAGGTCACTGTGTCATGTACGTCTGTCTTTTTCTTCACCTTGCTGTTAGTTCTTCATGAAATTAATTTTTTCAGTACTTTACCTACCAAAAACTGCATGAGGAAATGATTCTGGATGTATTACTACAAGAGTCTAGGGAGTCTCAGAAAGCCATATAAGAAATCTTGGAGATGTCAGGGCACGGCGGCGCATGCCTGTGATCCCATCACTTTGTGAGGCCAAGGTGGATGGATCACCTGAGGTCAGGAGTTTGAGACCAGTCTGGCCAACATAGTGAAACCCCATCTCTACTAAAAATACAAAAAATTAGCTAGGCATGGTGGCGGGTGCCTGTAATCCCAGCTACTTGGGAGGCCAAGGCAGGAGAATCGCTTGAACCTGGGAGGTGGTGGTTGCAGTGAGATCACGCCACTGCGCTCTAGTCTGGGCAACAAGAGCAAAACTCCGTCTCAAAAAAAAAAAGAGAATACATTCCCAATTCTAAAGCAAAACCAACACAACTACAACTTACTGAAAGTCTGTCTTGCAAACATGCATTTTCTGTGATTTAAGCTAAAGATAGTTTCAGGAAGAAATGACATTAGGTGCTTAAACCCCCCAAATCTATATCATCTTGTTGTTAGACTGAAATAATAGACTCAAAATATGACTTACCCCAGTGCTATCTCCAACCCAGGACAAGGATACTGAGCCTCTGAGATCATCAAACACATGCTATAAGGGTGAAAAAAATTAATTTAGAAATGACATCTATTCTCCTTCAGTCTTTGGCTTCTTTAAATATTTGAACTTTATTACTGTTCAGAGTAACTAAGCTCATAATTATAAAGGGGATATGGACTCCCAGTACAAAATTTGGGAGAGATGGGATTTAACTACTTAATGTGAATCACAAATAACTTGGAAATTTAAATTCTCTCTCACACAAAGTAAGCCAAGCAGATGAGTTTTCTTTACTGCACCAGATGGGGAGATGGGACAATCTAACTGCTTTCTCCAACAGAACTAAATATAAAGGTATAGCAAAGTATTTTTAGGGTGCTTTAAAACAAGAGATCATGGCCCACACTGGCAGGCACAACTGTAACCAAATCAGCATAATTTAAATTGCTCTGGGCATCCCTTACACTATAGTTGAATAGTTTGTAGCCGGATTCCTTTTACTTCTAGGCTAGCTCACTCAAAAGGACAAGGAGCAGGAGAAGCAAATGCCTTTGTTTTACCTTTTTAATTTAATAACAACAGTAATAATGACAATAATTAAACAGCCTTACTAGAGTTGCAGTGAGGGTAATGAGGTAAAAAAGGAAAAGCTGGTCTATTATATCCAAAATATAGTAAGCATGTTAAAATATAGTTATAATAACCACTGTAGGTGGTTTTGGGTTTTGTTTTTCAACCACTTCCTTTTTCTACTTATACAATTATATACATCCATTAAAGAAGATGTAGACAATTACAACAAGATATAACAGATAAAATATAAGTCATTCATAATCCTACCACATAAAGATATTCAGGTTAATATTATGTGTACTAATACAACCTTCTGTTCTCTATCATTTTTGTAACTGATAAAAAATAAAAATTACAAAGAGGCAACACTGCACTTGGAAAATTCAAACTACATAGAAATTATATATCATATAGTCTATACAGCCAAAGTGAAGATACTCCTCTTTTCTAGGCCACATGCTCACCACCTAAGCCCCATTTCTTAGACAGCTTAATAGTTCAGTACATATTTCTACTAAATGTTGATGATTATGTTTTTTTCTTAAGACTTGCAATCTTATTAAGATTTAAAAATCTTAAATATGCTTTGCCCTCCCAGATACGAGAAGCTCCTTAGAAGCTGGGAAATGTAACTTTATACTTCTTGGTACTCCCTGTGCCTACCACAGGGATACTTTGCATACTCAATAAGCATTTGTTGAAAATGATTACACATCCTTCCCAAACCACAAACTCAACCTCAAAATAGAACATGTCTATAAACAGTTGGGAGGCCAGCTACTTGGTCACTCAAGCCACCAATCCCAACACAGACATCTAAAGAAATAGAACTCAAAACATGAACTGTTTTGCTTATCTTTAAATTTTCTCTTATAGCCCTCCTGAATGGCCTCTGAATTCACCTATCCGATTTCCCCTCTGGACCATAAGTACCTTTGATGGCAAAAGAATCTCTTATACAATTTCTTTAAATTAGTACAATCAAGTATTCATGCAGGTCTTGCTCTTGAAATAATGGTTAACTCTCAAATGCTCAGCAGATCTTCTCACAGCCTCTGGAGGACAGAAGGGCTATTCAGACATACAGGCTTGACAGGCATCTGAGAAAAAGTTGGGCTGCTACAGCTTCTGAAATCAGAAGCTTAAACACTGACACAGCAGTGTGTCTTATAAGACATTTCACACAGAGCGAGACCACAAGTTCTCTTGAGTGAGGACAGAGTGTCTGAAATGACATCAATGAGATCTTCAGAAAAAACAGGAACATTTACAGCCACCACAAGACCAGACAGATCACGTAAGGCTAACAGTCACCTAAACATAGATTATCTTTCCAAGGAAGGTCCTCATCATAACTAAGAGAAAATATAATGTCCATCAACTGTGGCAGTGGACTTCATGGTGTTATTCATCAGGCTGTTAGGTATCAGTCTTGAGCCAATCAGGACTGAAACTTTTACTTTTCAGGCAATGCTCTATGCAGCTGAGCCAGTCAATGCAGATCGGCATTACCCACATTTTCCTATTGCTCAACCACAGAACGAGGAGGATTATCAAGTGTCACTGGCAACTCTCAGTTTCACTGAAACAACTGAAATGGTAATGGACCTCATTCATCATCCAAAGAAATGTTGGCCAGATTTACTAGCTAAAACTGTGGTTTTCTAATACCCTTAAGCTTTCCTCCCACCCCTCCAAATAACCTATGAAGATTTGCTTTTGAAAATGTGCACACTCATTGAAAAACTCATCTACCTATAGCAAATACAACTGATTTTTAAAATATTTCAGCCTCTAACATTTTTATACTGGGTGAAAGTTAAAAAAGGAAAATGAAATGAGATGTTACAGCAGGTTCAAAGGTTAAGCAGAAAGAAAATGTCATATGGAAAAAAGATAAATCCAGGAGAGCTAGGGACCCAAGAGTACATATTCAATTCTGCCCCTTCAATGGGAAAAAGAATACGGATGTCCAGGAAAGGGCGGATGACCTGGTCATGAGTAGGAGACAGAATTCACTAGTCAGCACAAAGGCAACAAGCCTAATCCAGAGTCATTTTTAATATTCAAGACAACGTACATGTCTTTCTACAACTGCAGTGACAGCTTAGATCTTTCAAAATATGTATTACAGCACTTTTAAACATAGCCGCAAGAATGCTGCTTGTCCTCCCCACTAGACCTGAGGCCCAACTGGTAAAGGAATCAAGCCTATACATTTCAGCAGCTAACACACAGCATAGTGCATAGTGGGCATGCAATAAATATTGTAATAAATATTTCTTGAAGAACTGCTTATGAAGTTCTGAAAAAGAGGATGACGAAGTAAAAATATAAGGCCAGACCTGCTTAATTTCCTCATGACAGACAAGAGAATCAAAAGTTCATTTCTTCTTCTTCTTTTTTTTTTTGAGACAAAGTCCTGCTCGGGTGCACAGACTGGAGTGCAGTGGTGCAATACTGACTCACTGCAACCTCTGCCTCCCAAGCTCAAACCATTCTCCTGCCTTAGCCTCCTGAGTAGCTGGGATTACAGGCACCCCCCACCATGCCAAGCTAATTTTTATATTTTTAGTAGAGACAAGGTTTCATGATGTTGGCCAGGATGGTCTCGAACTCTTGACCTCAACTCATCCACCTGCCTCTGCCTCCCAAAGTGCTGAGATTATAGGCGTGAGCCAATGCGCCTGGCAAAAGTTCATTTCTGAGTGGACTTCCACTTCTGGTCAAGATGGGGTGACAGGGATCACATTTATCTTCCTACCAGAAACAACTAAAACAAAAAAACAACAACAGAATATATGAAATGACTGTTTCCAAGATATTGGACATCAGGCACAAAGGACGAAATTCCTGAAAGACAGGAACTGAACAGGGAGGGATCCAACCCTACAGTTTCCCTCGCTTAATGCCTGGAGAGAATTTCAGGCACAGTGCAGGGGCACACAGGCAGAGCCCAGAGTTCTCCCTAAACTGAAGAGAGGAAGCTGGTAGTCGGGGGAGACCATAGAGGCCAGAGTTCACAGGGCAAAAGATCAGAGAAGAAAGACGTACACAGAAAAAAAATTCTGGAGATCTGAGGAGGTGGTCTCCCCAGTGACCCCACCAAGTCTTCAGCTTAACACGATCAACACACGCATGTGAGGATACTACCTGAGGCCAGGGAAATAATTACCTGAAAGGGCAGCAGAGAACAATACTCAGACCTCACACAAGGCCAGGAATAATTCCTATTTCCGGAAACCACAATAGAAAACCTCATATTTCAAGGAAGTTGGGTAGAGTACTCAGAAACACTTATGCCTCTGTGGCAAAGAAAAATAACCCCAGACTAAATGTTGTGCTGGTCCTGCTGAAACAAGCTTAAAAGCAAGACCTAAAAGGATCAAACTGTTTCTAAGTAACCAGTGTTCCAGAACAAAGTTCAACAATATTTAGAAGAATATAAAAATTGCATCCAACAATATAAAACTTGAGGCCGGGAATTCTAAGCCAGCTTGGGCAATGTAGCAAGACTCCCATTTCCACAAAAACAATTAAAAAAAAATCGGCTAGGCATGGTGGTACACGCTTGTAGCCCTAGCCACTTGGGAGGCTGAGGCAGGAGGATCGCTTGAGCTCAGGAGTTTGAAGCTACAGTGAGCTATGATCACATCACTGCATTCCAGCCTGAGCAACAGAGCAAGATCCTGTCTCTTGACATAAATTTTTAAAAATCACCAGGCATGCAAAGAAGAAATCAGGACCCATAATGAAGAGTAAAATCAAACTGGCTCAGAAATAACAAAGATAAGTAGCAGATAAGGACATTGAAATAGTTATAACTGTACTCCAGATGTTTAAGAAATCAGAGAATAGATTGAGGATGTTAAAGAAAAAAAACGTTTTTAAAATACTTAAATCAGGCAGGGCGTGGTGGCTCACACCTGTAATTCCAGAATTTTGGGAGGCCAAGGTGGGCAGATTACTTGAGGTCAGGAGTTCGAGACAAGCCTGGCCAACACAGTGAAATCCCATCTCTACTAAATAGAAAAATTAGCTGGGTGTGGTGGCAGGCACCTATAATCCCAGCTACTCAGGAGGCTGAGGCAGGAGAATCACTTGAACCCAGGAGGCAGAAGTTGCAGTGAGCCGAGATCGTGCCATTGTACTCCAGCTTGGGCGACAAGAGTAAAATTCAGTCTCAAAAAAAAAAAAAGGACTTAAATCAGACTTGTAGAAATGAGAATTACAATGCCTGAGATGAAAAAATACACTGGATAAGGCCCTGTGACTCATGCCTGTAATCCCGGCACTTCGGGAGGCTGAGGCAGGCAGATCACCTGAGGTGAGGCGTTCAAGATGAGCCTGGCCAACATGGTGAAACCCTATCTCTACTAAAAATACAAAAATTAGGAGGCTGAGGCAGAATTGCTTGAACCTGGGGTTGTAGCGAGCCGAGATTGTTCCAGGCTAAGTGACAAAGTGAGAGTCTGTCT